GATCAATTGATACGCTGTAACTCGTGGAACCCATTAGAAGTTCCGGTGCACGGTACCATAGCGTTACAACCCGACTTGTTAACTGATTCTTGTTTCTTGGTGTTACAATGTTGGCTAGTCCAAAATCAGCTAGCTTCAAAACTCCTTTGTTATTCACCAGAATGTTTGCTGCTTTAATATCTCTGTGCATTATTCCTCGTAGATGACAGTGTTCTACTCCCAATAGAAGCTGCTGCATGTAGCATTTTATCTGAAAATATAATTAGGTTTATCAGGAAAAGAAAAACAGAGTTACTTGCACCAACCGTTATGTTCTTTCTCTTTCTTACTTGAGCCTCAGTGAATTTGATGTCAGGAGATGAACATAAGCCTTCGAGATCATGTTCCATGTAATCGAACACAAAGTACATGCTGTTAGAATTCCGTGACGCGATGATCCCTTCGAGCTTCATGATGTTTGGATGATCTAATCTTCTCAAAATCATGATTTCTCTTGCAATGAATCTTATGTTTTCTGTTTCGAAATTTTGAACCCTTATTTTCTTTAGAGCCATAACTCGTCCCGTCGATACCTCACAAGCCCGGAACACGTTGCTATACGTCCCTTGCCCAATCTAATATTTTATCAAAAAAAAAATTGGTAGAAGAAATTAATTTTAACATCATGGATAGCCTGATAGGGTTGTTTCTTGTATTACAAGGCATGTTTAAGAGATTTAGGGCTTATTGTTTTACCTTCTCTCTTTTTTCGAAGTCCTCCGCGCGTAATGGGCTCCATCCATGAACGGCCTCCGGTGCAGCGGAGCTGAGCCATGAAGGCCAACCAGCTGCCACCTGCTCAGCCTCTACATTGCCATGCGTCAATCCCGATCTCAGGCTAACTCCGGTGGTCCTCGATCTTGGAGCATCATCGTCTTTATTGCGATGTTTTCTTGGAGATGAGTTAACCACACGGCGGTGAGATGGTGGACTGGGAAGAACATGAGGTTTGTGGTTGTTTTGGGGATGACTGCGGTGGACGGCGGTGTCTAAACGGCGGCGGAGATGGCGTGGATGACCCGCGGGAGAAGAATGCTTGGAGTTGAAGCAACCCATAATAACAAAAGCTAATTATCAAAGGAGAGTACTATCCGGGCGGCGTGAGTATGGACCCGAGTCGGGTAACGGGTCCAACGCAGGGAGGACAATCCCCGCATTAGACCATAAAGAAATGGAAAAAAGTGAGAAAAATCAAAAAACTGAAAGGAAATTAGGTTTTGCTCAAAAGAGAGAGGAAAATAGGTTTGGATGTAAAATAGAGAGAGATAATTACGGAGAATAAGACAATCCTCCTTATACATTGGAAGAGAAATAGAAAAGAAAAGTTAATCTTCTTATCTTTTACTATTTGTCTTTGTAATTTACAGTAGATATATATGTATACAATCTGTCATAATCTAAAACAGAAAAAATGAATAACGAATAACGAATTGAATACAATCAATGGTATTACCTTCCACAGGTGAAGGACAAGAGCTTAGAGTGTTTATATCAACGAGTTCCTCATAATATTGAGTTCACTAATAGTGTGAAACGAATTATGTAATTAAACATGAAGATTTCGATAAATTATCTTATTCAAAATGAATATGAGGTAATCAATTAAAATGATGTATTGGTTAGGCTAACTAATAATCTGTTTAGTTTTTTTGTAAATCAAAGTTTTCTTTTAAGTTTCAAACTTTGTGCAGTACTAAAATCAACGTTTTACTTTTGTTTGTATTATATTAATACATATTAGTCTTGTATTAGAATATAGACTATTTGTTTCATACAGATTAGTCTATGTATATTACATAGACCAACATTTCTTATCATCACGTAAATCAACTTTCCATGTGTTTTAATTTAAACATGTGAACTCCATGCAACTAAAATTCTGCTAAATATCTAAAAATTGTCAAAAAGAAGAAGAGCGAAGTAGATCAGTATGGATATCAAAGTTAATTGGCATTCCCATCTTTTCTCTGCGGCCTAGGTATGGATATCAAAGAACCGACCGATGAAGCTGCTAATCAAAAGGCATTGGTTAATAGGTTGTCTGAAGCTTTGTCTGACATTGTAAAGAGATTCAGCAATGTTGAATTTGAAGTTGCTGAGATCACCAAGGCTAAATGATTTGACATTATGTTTTATGTAGAGTGTTTATGTTTGAGTCAATTTTCTAATGTCTACAATGTCTTATAAGGTTTATGTTTTGAACATTTGAGTTAGTATTCCGATGTTAAATACTCTGATCCAAAGCCTTTAGCAAGATCTCCGAGATGTAGATAACTTCATATGAATTATCAATGTAGTTGATATGATAACTTTGTTTGCTTCCTTTGTATCCATGTATATTAAAGATTAGTCTATGTATATTACATAGACCAACATTTTTTTTTATTTGTCGATGTCCATCTTTTAAGATCAAGTGATAGACGGTCTTAAGACGTTCCGAAGAGATGATCTGTCTATATGACCAACATTTATTATCATCACGTAAATCAGGTTAATATAAACATGTGAACTTCAGGCAACTAAAACTCCACCAAATATTTAAAAGTTTCCAAAAATAATAAGAAGAACAAAGTAGATTAGTATGACATGCATAAGAGCATGAACAGTTATGGTACAATCTTATGAAATAATGAGCTTTAGTCTTTAAAGTTTTTAATAGTATTTTATATAGATAAAAATTTCCACATTATGAAAAAAAATTATACACATTTTTAAGAATTGTTTATTGTTTCCTTGTGAGCTGCATAAGAGTCGAAGATAAACGTTTTCCGAAACATCTTTGAAGTCATGTGATAACACGACCAAATTGCTACTTATTATATCACCAACAAACATCAACTATGTGAAAACTAGATGTTTGTTCAAAAAATTTAATACTGAAGTTATATATGTTCTTATCCACATAAAATTTCTGTGATGTGAATAAACAACTATAGATGTGAAGAAAAACTATAGATATGTTGTTAAGCAGTCGAATTTGGGAGAAAACTTTTAGATAAATTTTTAAAGTAACAACTAACAAGTCTTTTGGAAAAACTTTGTCATGTTCCAACATCAAATACATATATTGTCTGTCTCATGGGCCAGATTATCTGTATACACTTATTGAGTTAGAAATAAATATTATTTTATCATATAGTTGTCATTGATATGTTACATCATATAAAGTGTAATATCAACAACTACCATTACAATGGTTCCAAACTGAAAGACCTATATACCTTACAAATCAAAGCCCAAAATATAGGTCCAATATAGTTTTTTTTGTTCTTATCATAGAAAGCAAATTACTATCTTTCAGGTTTCAACAATTGATTTCCCACCAACAAAAGCAAAGCATGAACAACCTCCCAAGGCACAGACACACTGACAAATGACTGAGGATCCAAGAAAGCAACATAATAGAGAGTAACGAACAGTAAGAGCTACGGAAGAAGGAGTTACACTTTGCTAAGAATCTAAACAATCATTTTTTCTCATAAAAGGAAATCAAGACTCGTTACTAAAACCGCAGTACCGCGTCCCACATTGTCCCGATCACTGTAAAAACAGCTACTGGAATGACAAACTGATGTGCAAAACCAAAGTCGGAGAAGGCTCGTCTTGCACTGTTGTTGATAGGTGCTGCGGTTGGTGGGGGAGGCGGTTTCTCAACTAAAACATCGAGCTTCATACCACCGTAACATCCACCACCGCTACCGCTAATAAAATAGTAATGTCTGGTCACATTGAGATGAACAACGTCCCTTCCAGATCCACGGCTCCAATTAGCGATCGGGTTATCGGCATTGCAACTTATGTAGTTGGTCTCGTTCACTTCTATAACGTTGTATTGGTGTCTCTCGTACACAAAATCTGAGAGAATAACCAAGAAACTATATAAGTTCACTATATTGATAAACTGTTTGTAAGAAAACAGACACCGAAGAATAATCAAGTGGTCCTTTTCAGACAACATATGAGTGTGATTGTGTTGGACAAGATCTTACAAATTAAGTTTTAGCATTTTAAATGTATTAACATAGTGTAAGCTACTCACATCACATAAATCTAAATCATATAATCTAGAGTGTGACAAGAATCAATATAGAGTGAGAGAGTAGTACAGAGCCAATCGTCGAGGTAGAAATGTTTGTCCTGAGCCCAAATGGTATAGTTGATATTGGGATTCCAGAACTTGTTATCACCCACCGTCCATCTCTTAGCCGCCACTTCAGTCACCGGCACTGCCGCAAGAAAAGCCAGTACCACCGCCGCAGCCATCAACGCAAGTCTCACCATCGATCACTCTAGAAAGAAAAAAAGAAGCTCAGTGGTTTCTGACGCTCTTGTCTTATCTCTCAAGAAACAGCAGAGTTTTATTAATGAATATGAGTGAAGTGAGGCTGTTTCCAAGTCAAATCAGACACAAAATTTCTCGTTTTACGGGGAAAAGATCTCTCAAGATCCGTAATTTCTTCAACTGACCTTGTAATCTTATTACTACTTTAATAAAACCTCGAGGTTGACGATGAAGTACACGTTAATTAATGGTACGCGTTACGTAGTTAAGGGAATAATTAGTTTTTAATTGCTTGCCATTATTATATTTTTTCTCTGGTTATGACATCTTTCTGTTTTGTAATATATTCTTAGTTTCTTACCTTGTTGGCGGGAATTTATTTGCATTTTCTTCTTTCAAATTACAAGGGTCTAGATAACCATCTCCACGAACCCCCCACCAATGTAATTCGATAAGACGACGTCGTGTTATTGACCACTAATATTTCCTATTTTCTTTTATGACGTCATCACATTGATTTATATCCACACACTTATATCAGTGGTAAAATCCACGTAGGAAGAAGAAACATCCATTACACACCCATCCACGTGTTTTCATAACAGCTTCTAGTTCCATTAGCTGAACAATAGAAACAGAGCATCGAACTGAGAAAGAAGAAGAAGGGAAGGCAAGAGAAATGGCGGCAGCGGCCATGGCCGTTCATCTCCCAAAACATTCATCGTTTCTTCCAAAACCCAAACTTCTGTTGGATCAAAACTCTAACTTTCTCGTTGTGTCCTTAAAGTCCGGTCGATCCATGTCCGTTAACCGGAAAACTAAAGGTCCGGTGATGGTTTCAGCTGCTTCAACGACGAGCAAGAACATCGTTAAAGATGGCGATAGAAGCAAACAGTTTTATATAAACTTCACAGGATTTCCATTTCCTCTTGGTCCTTTCCTTAACCGCCGCACCATCAGAACCGAGGTTGTTAGGCTTCTGAACTCGTTTTGAGAATATTCATTACAAGTGACTTAACCGAACATTTCCTCGTTTGTTTTGCAGGCGGTTAAAGGTTGCATATGGATGTTTGAACAAGAACAAGCTTTAGGGTTTAGCAGTGTGTCAACGAATATAAGAATGACTGTCATCAAACTCAAATCCGGTGGTTTATGGGTTCATGCTCCTATTGCTCCCACCATAGAGTGTATTCAGGTTCCCCCCCTTTATTTTTAAAATGCTTTAGTATCATTTCTCTACTTTGATTGAAGCTTTTTTACAACATATGGTTGTGAGTAAGTTGATAATAACAACGATGTCTGAACTCTATTACTTGGGTTGTTTTGTTCTTGAGTTTAGCTTATTGAGGAGTTGGGAGCTCCGGTTGAGTACATTGTCCTGCCAACTTTTGCTTATGAGCACAAGATTTTCGTCGGTCCGTTTTCTAGAAAGTTCCCCAAGGCACAAGTATGGGTGGCACCTAGACAATGGAGCTGGCCACTCAACTTACCACTCGAGTTTTTCGGTATCTTTCGCGCTAAAACCATTAAAGACGCAGACTTATCTACCCCATGGGCTGATGAGATCGAGCAGAAAGTCCTTAGCTCTCCTGAAGTTGGTATGTATTTGAATCTTGTTTTGGTTGAAAAGATTCAGGAAATCATATAGGATAATGTTATACACAGGAATTGGACCGTATGTGGAAGTAGCGTTCTACCATAAGCGTTCAAGAACTTTATTAGTCACTGATGCTGTGATCTTCGTCCCAAGGAAGCCACCATCAAGTATCAGCAGCGAATCTTTACTGGCTTCTGCTAAGAACGGACTCGCTGTGAAGATACTTAGCAAAGGAAAACAAGTTCCTAATGATCCTGTCGTTGATACCCCAAACACTCGTCAAAAAGGTCAGTCAGCAACTTCTTTGAATTCAAATTCTTCTTGTTTTCTTTTAAAGATCTCAATGTGTCTCTCTCTCTCTGTTAACTAAAAACTTGCTAGGATGGGAAAGAATGGTACTGCAAATCCTGTTTCTTGGCCCATCTAATCTCTTGGAACCAAACGCAAGCTTTGCACAAATGTCTCAGAAACTCATTGTTTCTCCCATTGTTAAGACTTTGGTCTTTAGCAAAGTCCCTGAGAAGGTAAGGGATTGGATTGATGAGATAGCGAGTGACTGGAGATTCAAGAGGATAATCCCAGCTCATTTCGAGGCTCCAGTAAACGCAGGGAGGTCAGAGTTTCTAGCTGCGTTTGGGTTTCTTGATGATCTTCTAGGGGAAAGATATGTAAACCGTACTCCTTCGCTCTCTTTTCTCTTCACTTCGCTGATGGGTAAAGCAGCAAGCTATTTTCCTCCGGATGATATGAGAACTCTCTCTTCTCTTGATCAGTTCTTAGTCTCTGTTGGTGCTGTCAAAAAGACTGTCTCTGGTAGAAAAAAACTACGATGAATGGAATAAATGTCTTTTTTTAAGAATATAGAAACGATTCGGTCTTGTAATTTACTTGTTGTAACAAGCTAGAAAGGAGATTTGATATTATACTTCTTTAAAAGAAAACGTTCAACACTCTTTTTGATCATCTGTGTATCTGTTTGTATCAGTAAACAATCTAAAACCAAACCACACATCTCGCACTCTATGTCTTGAGATAACTTGCTGCGTTTCTCTTACATGATTGAACAGACACACTTGTTCATCTTCGGATCACCATCTTTAGGCTTCTTTTCTGTTGTTCCAAAACATCATAGTTAAAGGAAACAATATCAAGTCGAGAACAGAGTTTAAGTAGAGGCTGTGTTCTTTTTGAGTAGTGCATATACAGTGGGGGATTTTATTTAACCTTTTGCAGAGACAAGAGGTTGGATGATGACATGCATAGTGGTGACAGCAGCGTCTACGAGAGTAGAGTGTGGACTTCGGTAGTCTTTAACCGTTTTGTTGTTCTCCAAAACTTTCCCTCCGCTTATCAACTTCACCTCTTTCACTGTCCTCGGTCCATTTTCCTTTTCTAGCTCAAATCAAGCACATGACAGAACAAATGACAATTCATTACAATGATGCCCTTTTCTAGCAAGCATATAAGATATCCTAAAGGGTGACATGATTCTCATAAGTAATCATCAATCAAGCGATAAAGCATTGTTCCACAAAAGACACATTCAAGCCTTTACAAAAAAAGACACTGCCTGAGGATAATTAAAAAAAAAATCTGAAAGCCAAAGCAAAGCATATATGAAAACTGACCTCTAGGCCACTGAGAGATAACAGTCTCCTTCAATGCAGCAACAGTGGTAGCATCGGGAAATGCTTTAGGGCCGATATCAGAACCATCGTTTAAGCGAAATTTGATCTCTAGTTTATCATCAACTTCTTCCATATCTTATCTATATATGTAAAAAAGAGTTGGCAGTTTTGTCAATGTATCATAGATCCCACAGGGCCTTTTTGTTGCTCTTTACTCTTTACTCTGCTATGAGAAAAGAACAATAAGTGATTGGGAAGCTGAGAAAAGTAGAGATAATCTTCTTCTTTAACAGAATTCTTGATTCATAAATGGAGTCGCATGCAACAGAGTAATAAAACAGAGGATTTTAACAGAATGTATACAGTTATATCATGTTAAAGATCAAGTAAACAGAGAAACATTCAATCAAGAAATGATAATGAGATCTTTAATAAGGATCTGGCAAAAGAGGGAGGGAGTATATATATATAGCTGCTCTAAAAGAACAAATCCAGATTTGAAAAAAAAGAAAAAGAAAAACCTCAAAAGATCATGTTACTGATTACTTACTGTGGCTGCTCTGCGACTAATCTGAACCGATGAATCAAACAAGAACACGCATCAGAGAGAGAAGCAGAGAAAAAGAGAGAGAGAGTTGGCAAATAAGATGAGATGAAAAGAGTCGGTGTATTGATTGAATTCAAAAGAAGGGCGGGTCAAAGTTTTCCACATTTAGCTGATATTCTTCCCATCTTTGCGCCTTTGGACCTGCTGCCCCCATCTCTCTCTCTCTTTTTCTAGTCATCATCGTACAACATAACGTTATGGCCATTATCTTATCTCAACCGTAACATGCGATCGAGAGAGAAGATAAAAGGACAAGGGAGAGAAAGCAACAACAATCCTCTTCATCAAGAAAAATTCTCATGATTTGATCAACACATGAACCTTACTAAAGCTATAGCTACAATAATGTTTCTTATAAAAAAAAATCACTAACTAATGAAATCGAATAGTAAATGTAACAGTTGGTTAACATATTCCAAAAAGGAGCCTCCCTAAGTATGGTAAAGTGATGCATCTCGTTAAAGCATTTGAGAAGGCAACCTACAAGGAATGAGGAAATGAAACGGGAGCATAAGAATAATAAGAAAGCTCTGAAATGGGATGAGCCTGCAGCTGCTTAAGTGTCTAGAGACAGACCAAGTCACTTGGACTTCCTCATTTTGTTTCTCCATCTGATTTGGTTTTAACAGCTACCACCAATCTTGGACTAGACAACAACCTCACCCTTCAGTTTCTTATGCATTATATGCATACTTCAGTTTTAATCTGTCTGATTAAATTGACCTTACAGTGCTGAGTTTAGTTACCAAGTGAAAGACCTTGCGGTTATTTCATTCACCCTTGTTTGGATTTTGATGTCAGTACTTGAGAGAGTTGTGCTTGGTTTCAAGCTGAACTTGAATCTACAATGGTAAGAGTCATGTCGCCGAGGGAATAGGCTTAATAGATCAATACAAAGCATAACGAGAACGGAAACAAAAGGTTGCGTACTATGAAGAGTTGAGAAGGCAGAGAAAAAGATTGATCCCAAAGGACCTAGGTTTTGTTATTTTAGATGATGATACTTCATATTTAAAGGTTGAAAGGATCCACAAAAAAAAAGAAAAAAAGGGTCTCTGAACATTATGGGAGCAGTCTTTGGTAATAATGGTTCTTTGAGAGAAAAAGATAAACACTAAAAACAGGACATTGGTTTCAAAACTCAAAACAACATTAAGATCTTCAAATTTCAACAGCAATACGTCCAGCAACTTGGTCCAAATCCCGTTGCCCGCTTGAAGTAATTCTTCGTCCTCTGAAGAAGACAAAACAAAAAAAGTTTTAACATTAGCGGTCTTCCTCAATGAAAGAAGGAAAAGAGACAATGTTTTGAAGTAATTATTACCCTTTGGTGTCAATCTCAACAATGTTCATAGTCTCCAACTGCTGGAGGATGTGACGGGCAATGCCACCGCTGCTCTTGCAGAAGTGTGGTGGGCGACTGCCGTTTCTCTTGCTGCCACCATAGATTCTACGGAAAGCACCAACTCCAAGACCTCCCCTCAGATATACCTTCCTTGCCATAGATGCTGCCATCATAAAAAAAAGAGAGATCGCTCTTGTAAAAAATTTATATACGAGTATTGAGAAATAAAGCTGAGACTAAGGGTAAAGAGTGCTAACCAGCTCTGATGTAATACCAATCAGGATCATATGGTGCAAGCTCCTTCAATTTACCGGTCTTCACAATGTCTGTCCATGAAGGAAGCTCGATCTGTAACAAACAACAGAGACAATTAATTACGTTATGGTTCTAAGTACAAAACACAAACATAAAACATAAAATCAATAGAAATGGTTATAAAATGGTAAAAAACTGTTGATCATAAGCGAAATGATACATTACAATTCTAATTCTAAGCGAAAAAACACACAAAGTTACGAAGCAGCAAACAACTAGTAATGACGATGACCAATTACAAAACATTCCTGCTTTCAATGAACTTTCGTTACATTTCAAATGATCCAATTGACACTATTAAGTGGACAACGACATCATGATATGAATTCAGCATGAAAAACATAGAAAGCAAACCATTTTGATTAATGTAGCTAAAGATAACTAATATCTATACGTCAAGTCTTTGTTATTCAGTAGACTGTGAGATCCATTTATAGCATTCCCTCAGTGAAACCAACTCAACACAACATAACAGAAGAAACAGTAAGTCGAAATGTGGAGACTTTGGATTGATATAACACCCAAAAACATTATAATTTCCACACTAATAACAGCTAAAAACACGAAAGAAGAGGCACTAACCTTGCCAGATCGCTTGAGATGAGAAGCATAAGCCTTCACAAAGTCATGTGGTGAGACGTCTTTCACTGTTTTACCAGTTGCCATAGCTTTAAGCTAACAGAGAGAGTAAGGATCTTCGTCTCACACGTTACTCCTCCACACAAAAAAAAAGGCTAGGGCTTTCAATCTCCAAAATCAATGTCTATATATATCTAGTCATTACATTTCGCTTAGGGTTTTCTCACAATCGCGGAGACAACAAAGTGGGCCTGTCTTCTTCTTATGGGCTAAAATTCTTAATTGGGCCTTACTATTACATCTATCCCCAAAATAAAACGACACCGTATCTAAGCTGTCGGAGAAACGTTCGCGTTTTATCATCACATAACCACTGCCGAATAGTTCGCATCTCAAGAGTCTTCTCTTCCATTTTTTTTAACACATCAAACCCTAAAGAGAGAGAGAGAGAGGGAGTGGCCTCCATCATCACCCAATCCAATGACGATGAAGAACTTATTAACCTCCGCACTCCGTTCTCAGAGGCGTCTCGCCTTGAATCAATCGTTACGAGCTTCCTCCTCCGTCTCAGCTCTCGATTCCCCTTCTTCTTCTCCGACGACGACTCACTCCCCCGCGTCACCACGGATTCTCATGCCCTACGACCACGCCGCGGAGATCACCAAAGAGAAGCTCAAGAAACTCGAGAATCCAGATCAGAGATTCCTCAAATACGCATCTCCACACCCAATCCTCGCCTCACACAACCACATCTTATCAGCCCCGGAGACACGCGTCACCACTTTACCCAACGGTCTACGAGTCGCTACCGAATCCAATCTCTCCGCGAAGACCGCTACAGTTGGAGTATGGATAGACGCTGGATCCAGGTTCGAATCCGATGAGACGAACGGGACGGCTCATTTTCTGGAGCATATGATTTTTAAAGGGACGGAGAGGCGTACGGTGAGGGCGTTGGAGGAGGAGATTGAGGATATTGGTGGTCATTTGAATGCGTATACGTCGAGGGAGCAGACTACTTACTATGCGAAGGTGTTGGATTCGGATGTGAATCAGGCTTTGGATGTCTTGGCTGATATCTTGCAGAACTCTAAGTTCGAGGAGCAGAGGATTAACAGGGAGCGTGATGTCATCCTCAGGGAAATGCAAGAGGTATCGTCTTCTTAAAAACTCAAACTTTCATGTTCTGCTCTCAAGTATTTTTAAGGCAGATGTTGTCTGAATAATTATGAGTCTTGATGTGTCTGTTTCGTCACTCATTTATATCTTCTTAAAAATTCCAACTTTATGTTTTTGTTTCTTCATGTTCGATGTTTTGTCATAGTTAATTGTGAGGCTTTTGTTTCTTGATGTGTCTGGTCGGTTTCTTCACTCAGCTGTGTCTTAAAAAATCTCGACTTTATGCTCTGTTGTCTATACCTTTTGTGATGTTCTATATAATTTCATGTTATCATAGTTTTATATGTGTCGGGTCATGATGAGAGCCTTTCGGTTCTCTTATATGTATCTCTATTTCTTTACTTATTGATTTGTGGACTTATGTTGGCACGGTCAAGAAGTAACTATTTCGTTTGCATTTTGCATTATTTAGGAGATTTTATTACTGCTGTGCGTTATGGTTATCTCTTTGTTCATTTTGCGTTAAGTTTAAGTTTATTGTAATTTTGTTTTCTCTGTAGGTGGAAGGCCAAACCGATGAAGTGGTCCTTGACCATCTACATGCTACTGCTTTCCAATACACACCTCTTGGAAGAACTATTCTGGGATCTGCTCAGAATGTCAAGTCTATCACCAGAGATGATCTGCAGAACTACATTAAAACTCATTACACTGCTTCCAGGATGGTATATCATTTTTTTCAATCAGTTATTGAATTTGTTTGAATTCTTATGCTCATCCAAATATATATACTTTCAGGTGATTGCTGCGGCAGGAGCAGTCAAGCATGAGGAAGTTGTTGAGCAAGTGAAGAAACTATTTAACAAGCTGTCATCTGATACAACTTCTACTACTCAACTAGTCGCCAAAGAACCTGCTAGTTTTACTGGTTCTGAGGTAAAGAAGACCCAACCCTTTATGATATTCTCTTACTTGCTCTTTCTAAGTTTATAGTCCATCGAAATTCTCTTGTGTCAGGTTCGAATGATTGATGACGACATGCCCCTTGCACAATTTGCTGTTGCCTTTGAAGGAGCGTCTTGGACAGATCCAGATTCCGTTGCTCTTATGGTTATGCAAACCATGTTGGGTTCATGGAACAAAAATGTTGGCGGTGGCAAACACGTGGGGTGAGATTTTGCTTTCATGACTTCAACGTTATGGTTTCTTTTTGCAATATGTTGATGATATGTTAACTTGTCTGCGCGCAGCTCTGCCTTGACCCAGAGGGTTGCCATTAATGAAATAGCGGAGAGCATTATGGCATTCAACACCAACTACAAGGATACTGGGCTGTTCGGCATTTACGCAGTTGCTAAGGTCAACCAACCACCCAACTTAACAACACAGCCTAGCTCTTCTCTTTGTTGAATTTTCTCTGTATAAGCAGTTTCGTCTGATTATTTCTCTCTTTTAACAGGCCGATTGCTTAGATGATTTGTCATATGCCATAATGCATGAGGTAACCAAGTTGGCCTTCCGAGTTTCAGACGCTGATGTGACACGTGCACGGAATCAGGTTAGCACCCATCTCTTTTCCAAGATTCAGCGTCTAACTCACTTTGTTTGTAGAAAAATGTAACTGTTTTTAAATAATCTTTTCAGCTCAAATCGTCGCTTTTACTTCACATGGATGGAACTAGCCCAATTGCTGAAGATATTGGTCGTCAGGTATGATATCTCAATCATCTTCGTAAAAATATTATAAAATAAGTGCACTGGTCAAAGATAACAAACCTTAGTTTTCGTTCTAGTTTATGTTTATTTGCAAAATCAGTTTTATGAAACTTCCGGAGATTTGTGTATTTGCAGCTGCTGACATATGGGAGAAGAATCCCAACCGCTGAACTCTTTGCTAGGATCGATGCTGTCGATGCCAGCACCATTAAATCTGTTGCCAACAAGTATATCTATGACAAGGTAACTGATCTCTCTCTCTCCCTCGTCTTGTTTGTCTATCTACACACAGTTTAAAACTAAAAGAAAAAATGTTTTTGGGATAATGCGCAGGACATTGCAATCTCAGCCATTGGTCCGATCCAAGATTTGCCAGACTACAACAAGTTCAGACGCAGAACCTACTTTAACCGTTACTAAGCCTCTAAAATAACGGCCCCGCATGTTCGCCCACGGGAGAGAGAGAGAGAGAGCAGAACCTTGGTGGCGATGGATTCATTATTTTTGAGTGTTTTATTTTCCGTGTAATCTTTCATAATTTACTACCATCGTCACTGGTAAAATAAATGTACTGTTGACTCATATCCTTCTAGAGTAAGATACTAGAGATCGTCTGTTTTATTGGTTTGGCTCTCCACAATTTTCCCATACAACTTAATAAATTGTTGTATGTTGGTTTGAAAAACTTTATTTGGAATGATTTGTCTCCTTTAGTCTGCATTTCTCTATGAGCTATGTTCACTGTTTTTCCAGAGAATAATCACTTGTGCTCCTTAGTATCAAATCGTCCACAGAGATTGAACGTGATACCTACAATATGTGAAACATTTTTAAAAGTTTAAAAGTTTATCATGCTAGACACGTAGACCAAACCCCACACCCGATTAGCGTTTAGCAGTATATTTTTCAAAGTGGAAACATATTAAACGAATTAGCCGTCGGGGCTACTTAAAAGAATTGGACCTAGTCCTGCAGGGACAACGTCTCTTTCAACTTTGAGCCCGTCTTGTAATAGGCCCACAAAACTGAAACACCCAATAAATACATGAACGCCAGAAAGAGCTAACGTGAGACAAAAGAACAAAAAAGAAGAAGAGCAAAACCTAAATAAATTTCACGACCATGCCGCCGCCGAATATGAGATCGATCTTTGCTAAGGTGCGTCGAGAACCTGAATCCTTTATTAATTAATTCTCTGTTAGATTTGGTGTTTTTCTCTGATTTGTTGGATTGACAGGTACATCAGACGTCGAAATCAGTTGTGTCTCGCCGCAATTTCTCTTCACCCGCCGCAGGTGACGGCAAAGGTAAAAAGTTGTCTGATTCCTTTTGATCTGATCTACCAAATATCGAGTCTGTGACTTTTCTTTGTTTGTTTGTGATTGTAGAGCCAAAGGAAAAATCTAGCGTGGGTTCAGTGGTAGCTCGAACCCTCCTCCTAGGTGCTATGGGATATGTCAGTGGTACTTACGTTGGTACTTACCTTGAAACTTACGTTGGTACTGAAGAAGAAGGCAAAGCACTGAAGGAGAATTTGGAGAAGTTGACCTCACTGAAGGAGACTTTGGAGAAGATGACCGAAGAGTTCAAGGAGATAGAAAACAGAGTATCCAAGCTCGAAGATCACTTAGAAATACTTAAAGGAATCTGATTGTTTAGATGATGTTTAGATGAACAGTTGACTGAAGCTCTCTCGTTAGTTTCAAGTTTCAATGTGAGTAGAGTTTTATCTCTTAGTTTTAAGAAATTAGCTTGATATTAATTTTGTAAGGATTCTAAATGCAAATGGCTAAAGATTTTAACATGGAGAAATCAGACAAACTCTTTTAGTCACCGTACTGTTTCTAAATAATGATACACTGAAGAAGATCAAAAAAGTAACCTGAAAGAGGATCAACGGGAAAAGAGAGGCAACACTGAGTATGTCTGAACTTAGACCAAGAGATTATTCGGTTTATCATGTTTTCAAATAATCTCAAGCACTCTGGTCTGTGGCAAAGCAAAGGTCCAAAACAAAATCCATTTCCCAGTTAAGCTCTTTCACCTCTTTCTTCAGTTTGATACTTTAGCTGTGTTATGTAATCTTTGCTGAAGTTGGAAATGTAATTGTTTTTTAACCCCCACCCAATTAGTTTATCTGGGTCTTTTTTTTTTTTTTGGAATACTTTAAGGTCTGAGATGCAAATGATTCCTTTCTAGTTCTTAGTGCAATTATTCGTGATTGTTTTTTAGCCGATGCTGCTTCTATTTAGTTTTCAGGTGAAGGTAACAGCGTGTCTATATTCAAGAAAGGTCTCATCATATGAGACAAAACCCTATGGCATATGCAACTGGAATAACGCTTGCTTCAAGGAGACTCTCTTCCCTATTTGTACCAGAACCTTCTCATCTCCCATAGGTGTGTCGCTCCTGTACTCGGTTCCTCCTCCTATTTCTTCACAAGACTCCAAGATCATCAGCTTTTCTACAACTCCTCTGTTAAGTGTTCAACTCAATCTTCTTCAACTCAGAAAATCAAGTTGTTTCTTGCCCTAATGTTGTGGATATACTCCCACAAAGAGGACGCCTCGAGTCAGTCACCAGCTAGAATCTCAGGTCTGCTTGCTCTGATCCTACCTAGCTCCTCTAAAAGTCTACTCCGGGTTTGATCCAACCGCGGAGAGTGTCACATCTTGCTCTAACACAAACTCTAGCTCTTTTGGCAAGATTACACTGACCATTATCATCAGCATCGCCACTAGGTGAACTTCTCTTATTCATGGCTGGAGCTTCTTCTGATGAGCTATTTTCCAGGCTTGAAATGACACGATTTTCCTTGGCTAATCCTACGTTTGGTCTTTAATTCAAACCCGCATTTGTCAACTCCTCGTCTTCTTTGGCTCCTAAGCTCATTAATTTTCTCTTCCCTTCTTTACTGTCAATGCTATTAGATGGAGAATTCGAGCTTCTTCTCCCGACAGAAAGCAAAACAAATTCACGTTCTTGATGATCACAAGAGCTTAAAACCTCTGCGTTGAAATGATCATTCTTCATTTCACGCATCTCAATACGTTCTAGTATTTTAGTGAGTAATTCATAATTTATCTAATTTGGTGGATTAACTCCTTATAAAATTTGTATTATCTGGAGTAACTGGGATAATTAAGTTCATAAATCTCTTTAATGCATTAAAATAAAAATATAATATTTTTTAATTTAATTTACAAATAGATCAAGTTATTTTTTCAAAAAATAATATATTTATTAGAATTTAGTCTCTTTAGTGTTGTTTTAAAAATACCTAATCACACTTTAAAATTATTATAATGTATACTAAACATATATAATTCCTTGTTAAAAATTTAGATAATAAAAGAAAAATGTGACAAAAAATAATACATGAAAATCTTCAAAATAGCACCAAATAAATGATAAATTGACCAAGGGGGTGTTAGTGGGAGTTATATTATAAAGAGTTTGTTGATTTTAAAATTGATAAATTTGTTAAATTTAGAAAGAGTTGTAGAGAGTTTTGTTTATTGTCGAAATTCTGTGAACTAAATTGATATAATGATTCGAAGAATCCTAAGTATATATGTAATATTCACAAAATCTTGTGTTATGGGTTAAACATGAAGAATACAACTCCCAATAACACCAACTTTAGTAGATTTAAAAAATATTAAATTCTAAACTTTTTGATTAACAAGAGATTGTGTATAGGATTAGTTTGACGTTCCTTGGTGATGTCTTAGAGTGGTTCTGGAATTTGTTATATCAGACGATTTTTAGCCAATGATTGTTGGGCGCTTTTACTGTAGTTACATGTTTATCAGCAAGTGGTCAAAAGACAATCCGATCTTTTCTTCGTGGCATGGGTATGCATATCAAAGAACCAATGAAGCTGTTTATCAAAAGGCAGCGGTTAATAGATTGTATATAGCTCTGTCTGAGATGGGAAAGAGGCTCACCAAGCTTGATTTCAAGTTGGTGAGATTTTTTAAAATCTTGCTGAGACCAAGGCAAAATAATTTGAAGTTATGTTTTATGTGGAATGTTTATGTTTGAGTCAATTTTCTAATGTATAATAATGTCTTATAAGGTTTATGTTTTGAACATTTGAGTTAGTATTCCAATGTTAAATATTCTGATCCAAAAGCAAGATGGTCATGCAAACCATGTTGGGTTCATGGATTAAAAATGTTGGTGGTGGCAAACATATGGGGTGAGATTTTATGCTATATCTATATTTTTCTTAATGGATTCAACGTTAAGGTGATATTCACCAATGTTAAATATCTATATTTTCCAATGTTAAATATTCACCATTATACACATTATATAGATGATAGCAAACTATTCCTATCAATGGTGAACTCTTAAAAAAATTCTAAGTGATAGTGTGTAGTATTTGTACAATCCAAAAATCTCTAATCAATTTTGATTATCAAACATGTGAGCTTATTGTGCATGCAAATGTTTCCATGATTCAAAGCAAATGATTCTCGGATTCAAAGTTGTGTCTGCGATGGAAATAGTGAATATATACAAATATGTTTTCAGGCTTTTCAATGAGATTGATGTTGGTATAGGGTGCCTTTAATGTATCCAATGCACCATAGCGTAAAGCAAATGCACTTGTAAGTCTATCTTATATCCCCAAAATTTCCCCTGATTTTTGTCATATATATTTCATTCATACAAATTTGAATAATTCATGATATGATTTCTTGTGTACGCCTTCAAAGAGTTTTTTTAGCTCTTTCTCGGATGAGAAAAAGAAAACAGTAGCTGAAGAAAACCAAGCAATTCACGAGGCACTTTGGAAGCGGTTTTCATTTGGTTAGGTCATTTGCCTGTGCTTGGATCTCGTTACGGAATGCTTTTTACCAAAGGTGTTGGTATTACCGTGTGTTTCTTGGAGAGACTGCACCTTGAACAAGTTGGCTCGAGGGGAAGAACAATCTTAAGCAATGAAGAAGTCATCCTAAAGATGGTTGCCTATGTTGTTTCCAAGACCTCAGATCTTAGCTTGACTCTTTTTGGTGCCATCTTCAAATCCATTTTGGATTTTGATAAAGAAGATAGCTAAAGGAGTTTGGGTTGTTGGGATTTTTGGTGATGCATATACAACTTTAACAGTTTAAGGTGGGAAGATGTGGAGATCATTTCTACGCAGCTTGGGTTTCAAGTTTCAATGTCAAAGAACCCATTGGTAAAGTTGAAGAGTTAAAGAAATCAGTTGAAGTGGTACAAAGCTCGGTTAACAGATTGTCTACAAACATGGATCAAATGAAGGGGAAGATATGCAAGATTGAATTTGATGGTGTTGTTGCTGAGATCCTGAGATGTCGTTGATGATCTAGTTTATGTTAGAGTGTGTTTTGTTATGTTGTAGTTAAAATGATGTTAATGATACTGAGAGAGAGAGAGTGACACGATGAAGAATCTATTGATTTTGGCTCTCTGAACCATCATAGCTAATGTTTGCTGCATAGCCTTTTTGTTATTCATTTAATTTGCAAAAAGTTATAGAATGAAAACATTTCTTTATCAAAATTGGTAAGAAATAATAAGTAATAGACATTATTCAAATTTTTTTATTTTGTATCTATTTACTATTTTCTCTTTATTCATGTTATTCTTTTAATGTTTATGGGTTAGGACTTTAGATAATAAAAGAAAATATGACAAAAATAGTACATGAAAATCTTTAAAATAACATCAAATAAATAGACTAAAATAATCCAACTTGATGTTTTTTACTTTATTAGTTTAACTGTATTAGGAATTTATGTGTATACTTGAATTGAAACTTTTCTTTAAATGTGTTCATAGATGATTTAGCTTTGGAATTGAGGGGAATAGAAGCAACTTTAATGTAGGCAACATGAAGAAAGCTTATGGATTTCATACTCCCAAGACAATAAAGCTCAGTATGACCTTTCTTGGTGAGATTTGGAGATTCTTTTGGATTTTGGCAGTAGAGACTATTGTTGAAAAGTGTTTATTTGCATGTGTTACTATGAATGCAGGTGTGACAAATATGGATCAAAGTTTATTCGATCTATGCTTCGCCGTATGGGTATAAATATTAAAGATTCATTTGATGAAACTGCTGGCAAACGACGCTGGTTAAGATATTATCTAAAGATGTTTCTAAAATGGAAGAGAGAATCTCAAAGGTTGAAGTTACTGATATACATGATTTGATTTGTACTGATCTGAATTATGTTTTATGTCGAGTTTAACAATGTGTTGTTATGTTTATGTTTTATGTTGAGTTTAACAATGTGTTGTTATGTTTATGTTTTAATGTCTTAGTTAATATTTTCATGTTAATGATTTTGACTATAGCTCTTACCAAATTAAAAATTTTGGGTTGCTATTATTAAACCCTCTCTTGCAACCTAATCTATTTTCCTAAACTGGTTACCGAATCATTAAACTCCCCAAAGTAAGCATTGCAATCTCTAAACTGCACAAAACATCTATTTCTATCTAATTTCATATCTGCAGTTAAATTTAAATATTTGATCAGTTCCATTAAAATAGGATCATTCATTTTATTGAATGATTTATGTTTTCTTAAATTACCCTTAATTTTATGAACAAATTTAATTTTTCATTAAAGGCATTTTAGTCTTTTTTATTTGGGCCTAAAAATTATATACTAATGGGTTTCATTAATGTGTTGATTGTTTTATAAAAAAAATTCTTGCAAAAATATATTTTATTGCGGGTCAGACGGGTCAAATTTTTCAGTCGAAAAATGACTCAATCCGCTACGGAGCGGGTTGGACGGGGCGGGTCGGACTGAGGGATTGAAATTTTGTAACTAAATGATTTTACGAATTAATTACAAAACTAAAAAAAATATACCATTTAATTGTTAAAAAAAAACAATCTTTCTCAAGTACACATTTCATGTACAATCATTGTTAGTTTATTTAGAAACACAAAAAGAATTATCTAGAGACATTATAAAATAAAAATTTCTTCATACCCGTAGAATAATTTGATCTTGATTCTTTGACATTTTATATCATCAAGGCAAAAGACTTATTGATCCATTTGTAAATAAAACAACAATAATAGTACCCGCTCTTTTTAAGTGCGGATCAAAAATCTAGTGCAGCATTATAACTCAGCGGATTACCCGACCCGATTGTAACTCTAATTTGACCAAACTTATTCTAATTCAAACTGATCGAACCAAATTTAGTGATGAATAGCTATCTTAAGATTTTTTTTTTTTTGTTTGCGTAAATTAATGGTAGTTTGTGAGACTTTAGTTATATACATAATGTTGATAAACAAAAAAGTTATATAGATGATAAAATGAACATGAAATAATTAAGAGAGCCAGAAAGAGTTTAAGTTACCTAGAGACTTTTCTACATTGTGGGAGACAAACTGTTCTCCCTGGATAGTGTTACCGGTAAAACACTTGATTACATATTTTTCTTACCGTGAATATCCATTTTCCACCTGTTTGTTCTATTCCTTTATTTGAGAGGCAAATTCTAGAAGAGAAGCAGAAAAGAAGATTGTATAAAAGAGGCAAAAGCCAATCCTTTTGATCTGTCTTATAATTATCATGTGTCTGTAATAACTCAGTAACAAATTAACGGTAAATGAAGACGGTTAACTTTCAAAATCCATACTCCCAAGTCTAAAGATTTTAAAATCGCAATTTTGACTCCCAAATCGGTGGCAACGGTGGCTCTTAAAGCTCAATCCTGACCATTCGATTTTCTTATTGCTTAATTGGCCGTCAGGTGCTTAAACCATTAATTTTTATGAACCCGGTTCGATTTCGGTTAAATGTAACCGGAAAAAGATAAAATAATGGATTAGGGTTCTTTCCTTTTTCGTCTCTCTCTCTCCCAGCTCGGCTGCGCTATGACGACGACGATTCTTCCCATTTCCGAAGAAGATCCGTTTCTCTCCGTCGTCCGATTCACTTCCCAGCTCGCCGAGGTACTTTCACACTCTTACAAACCATTTCGTTTCGTAGATCTGATTGAGTGATAACACTAGAATAGTTTCATGATTCCACTATCTAAGATTAAGTCGAGAGCTACTCCCTAAGCTAATTTTGGAACTTGATTAGGCTTCAGAGCTTTGTAGAGAAGCTGAGGAGCTCATAGTAGCACGGAAGTGGTTGGATTTAGCTTCTTTACTAGTAGCTTCAGCTGAATTGGAATCTTCCAAGATTTCTGAAAAAGGTCTGTGTCTCTATTATAACACTGTTCTCTTCTTTATTTGTGTGTGTGTGCTCATCAGTAGGTTGGTTTTGTTTCGTATGTTTGATTCAGATTTTGAGTGTACCTACACGATCATTTGCAGCCTTGTCAAGAATGTGAATAGCCCTGAGGATGTCCTCGAAATGGTGAAAGCTATTTCTTCTAAGCTTGTTCAGCAACCAGATGACAAAGCTTCAGTTCGTTTGAAGATGTATGATTCTTTCCAGCTTATATGTTCTGTGATTTTTTTTATAGCTTCACTTCCTTATCCTTTTTGGTCTTTTGTCTTTGTATTATAGCCTCTTCAATCTATATAGCCTTCTGGATCACCCATATGCTCGTTTTCAAATCTACATGAAAGCTTTAACCCTGGCTGTTGCTGGGAAGGTTACTGAGTACATAATTCCTTCTTTTAAGAAGATTGATAGCCTTTTGGAAGAGTGGAATATTGACATTAAAGATCAGAGAGAACTCTTCCTTGCCGTTGCTAATGTACTGAGAGAAAACAAAAGGTACTGCAACATAATTTATAATTCTCTACCTGGTTTACTTCTTTCGTTTACTATGAGCTGTAATAACAGTAGCATCATGATTTTTGTCTTGTCTTATCCGTATTCCAGCTTGGTGAAAGAATCCCTTAAGTTTTTGACAAAGTATCTAGCGACTTTCTCCAATGAGGATGCTCAGACCTTAGTTGAAGCTAAGGAAGGGGCTGTGCGTGCAGTTATTGAATTTGTAAAGGCTTCCAGCATCTTCCAGGTATCACCATTCGTAAAATCTTAGATTGATTGGGATGTCTAAGATCCGTCTTTCTTGTTTTGACACAGCTCTTATATATTGCATCAATGATTCTGTAATGGCAGTGTGATTTATTGGACTTGCCAGCCGTAGCACAACTAGAGAAGGATGCTAAATATGCACCAGTTTACCAGCTACTGAAGATCTTTCTTACTCAGAGGCTTAATGCTTACAAAGAATTCCAAGCTGCAAATTCAGAATGTCTGCAAAGCTATGGTAACCAAATTGTAAATCCGTTCTACTGCTCTTTCCGTAAACACGTCCCATCTCCTGAGAAAATCCTTATTCTTATTTCTGGTGGTCCTTAGGACTTGTCGATGAAGATTGTGTAACAAAGATGAGATTGTTGTCACTAGTGCACTTAGCGTCAGATGAAACCGGAAAAATACCTTACACCTCAATTAAAGACGCCCTACAGGTATACAAACTCAGAAACCCTGAAATATTGGTAATATTTATTAGTTGCTTACTGTTCTGTGTTTTCAGGTAAAGGGAGAGGAGGTTGAACTATGGATTGTGAAGGCAATAAAAGCGAAGCTTATTGATTGTAAGATGGATCAGATGAACCAAGTTGTCATTGTCAGGCAAGTTGCATCAGTAGAAACTCTGTATTTATATGTCTATATATGCTCACTCATTCATAATTTGATGGTATGTTCTTTTCTTTCAGCCGCTGTTCCGAGCATAAATTTGGGTCAGATGGCGTGTTTTCCCGTAGAAAGATGCCTCCGATCATGATGTTCTCTTTCTGGTTACTCTGTATCACAACCTTTCTACCCGGGAGAATCACAGTATTAGCTGATTCGGACAAATCGGTGCTGCTTCGGTTTAAGGAAAAGGTATCGGATCCTGGTTCGATTCTCGCTAGTTGGGTCAATGAGAGCGAAGACTACTGCTCCTGGTTTGGCGTATCTTGCGATTCTACCTCCCGAGTCATGGCTCTTAATATCAGTGGCTCTGGAAGCGATAAGGGGAGCTCTAAAATTAGTCGAAACCGTTTCACTTGTGCTGATATTGGCAAGTTTCCGTTGTATGGGTTTGGTATTAGGAGGAGTTGCGTCGGAAATCTTGGAACTTTGGTTGGGAATTTGCCTTCTGTCCTCGTAGGTCTCACAGAACTTAGGTTTTTGTCTCTACCCTTCAATTCGTTTAACGGAGAGATTCCAGCTGAAATATGGGGAATGGAGAAGCTGGAAGTTCTTGATCTTGAAGGGAATTTGATGACCGGGTCATTGCCTGTTCAGTTTACCGGGTTACGGAGTTTGCGGGTCATGAATCTAGGGTTTAATAGATTTTCAGGTGAAATCCCTAGTTCTCTGCAGAATCTTACCAAGTTGGAGATTCTGAACTTAGGTGGTAACAAGCTTAATGGAACTGTTCCTGGTTTTGTCGGGAGATTCAGAGTGGTGCACTTGCTTTTAAACTGGCTTGAAGGCTCTTTGCCTAAAGATATTGGTGAGAACTGTGGAAAGCTTGAGCATTTAGATCTGTCTGGTAATTTCTTATCCGGGAGGATTCCAGAGAGTTTGGGGAATTGTCGTGGTTTGAAGTCATTATTGTTGTATATGAATACGTTGGAAGAGACCATCCCTTCAGAGTTTGGGAACCTTGGGAAGCTTGAGGTTTTGGATGTTTCGAAGAACACTCTGAGTGGTCCATTACCTGCAGAGCTTGGGAATTGCTCCTCCTTGTCTGTTCTTGTACTATCGAACTTGTACAATGTGTATGAAGACATTAGCAGCGTTAGAGGGGAGTCAGATCAACCTCCAGGCGCTGATTTAACCTCCATGACCGAAGATTTCAATTTCTATCAAGGAGGGATTCCGGAAGAAATCACTAGGCTTCCAAAGCTAAAGATACTTTGGGTGCCGAGAGCTACCTTAGAAGGGAGGTTTCCAGGAGATTGGGGGTCATGTCAAAGCTTGGAGATGGTTAATTTAGGGCAGAACTTCTTTAAGGGAGAGATTCCTGTAGGTCTTAGTAAATGCAAGAACCTTCGTCTTCTTGATTTGAGCTTGAATATGCTTACCGGAGGGCTTCTCAAAGAGATGTCGGTTCCTTGCATGAGTGTCTTTGACGTTGGCGGAAACAGCTTATTTGGTTTAATCCCGGAGTTTCTCAGCAATACTACAACCTCTTGTCCTCCTGTAGTTTACTTTGACAGGTTTACTAGCGAATCTTATATCACCGACCCTACGTCTGTTTATCTCTCCTTCTTCACCGAGAAGGCTCAAGTTGGAGCTTCCCTAACTGCTGTTGGGGGTGACGGAGGTCCGGCTGTGTTTCATAACTTCGCAGACAACAACTTCACTGGAACTCTCAAGTCTGTACCACTTGCACAAGACCGGTTTGGAAAGAGTATCTCTTATATATTTTCTGGTGGAGGGAATCAGTTGTACGGGCAATTCCCTGGAAAGCTGTTTGATAGCTGCGACAAACTCAAAGCTGTTTACGTCAACGTAAGCTTCAACAAGCTCTCAGGTCGGATTCCTGAAGGGCTCAGCAACATGTGTACTTCTCTTAAGATTCTTGATGCGTCCTTTAATCAGATCTTTGGGACAATTCCTTCGAGCCTTGGGGATCTATCTTCTCTTGTTGCACTTAATCTGAGCTGGAATCAGTTGCAAGGTCATATACCGGGAAGCCTTGGGAAGAAGATGAATGCTTTGACGTTTCTTTCGTTTGCTAATAATAACCTGACGGGGCAAATCCCTGAGAGTTTTGGTCAGTTGCATTCCCTGCAAGCTCTTGATCTCTCTTCAAATTATCTATCCGGCGGTATTCCTCATGATTTCGTCAACTTGAAGAATCTCACTGTGCTGCTTCTCAACAACAACAACCTCTCTGGACAAATCCCCTCGGGTTTCTCTACTTTTGCGGCATTCAATGTCTCCTCCAACAATCTATCAGGTCCTGTTCCTCCAACCAATGGATTGACCAAATGCAGCAGTGTGGTTGGAAACATGTATCTTCAGCCTTGCCGTGTGTTCTCTCTGACAACACCATCTTCGGATCCCAGAGGCCCCATGGCAGATTCTAGCACGCAGGATTACGCATCTTCCCCTGTTGAAAACGCTCCATCTCAGAACTCAGGAAAAGAAGGGTTCAACTCGCTAGAGATTGCTTCCATAGCATCTGCGTCAGCCATTGTCTCAGTTCTGATCGCTCTTGTGATTCTCTTCTTCTACACGAGGAAATGGCATCCGAAATCAAAGGTCATGGCTACGACAAAACGAGAAGTCACTATGTTCATGGACATGGCAGTTGCAATAACCTTTGACAACGTTGTTAGAGCCACGGGAAACTTCAATGCGAGCAATCTGATCGGTAACGGCGGGTTTGGAGCAACGTACAAAGCTGAAATCTCTCAAGAAGTTATCGTCGCTATCAAACGCCTCTCCATTGGACGGTTCCAAGGCGTCCAACAGTTCCATGCAGAGATAAAAACTCTCGGTAGGCTTCGACACCCGAACCTCGTCACTCTCATTGGTTACCACGCGAGCGAAACCGAGATGTTCTTGGTTTACAACTATCTCCCGGGAGGCAACCTCGAGAAGTTCATCCAAGAGCGATCCACAAGAGCTGTAGATTGGAGAAATCTTCACAAGATCGCTCTTGACATAGCTAGAGCTCTTGCTTACCTCCATGACCAGTGCGTCCCACGTGTTCTTCACCGTGATGTCAAACCAAGCAACATCCTCTTAGACAATGATCACAACGCTTACTTATCGGATTTTGGATTAGCGAGGTTACTCGGGACATCAGAAACACACGCAACAACAGGAGTAGCGGGTACGTTCGGATACGTAGCACCCGAGTACGCGATGACTTGTCGGGTTTCAGATAAAGCGGATGTATACAGCTACGGAGTGGTGCTTCTGGAGCTGCTTTCAGACAAGAAAGCGCTTGATCCGTCGTTTGTTTCGTACGGTAATGGATTCAACATTGTGCAGTGGGGTTGTATGTTGTTGAAACAAGGACGGGCCAAGGAGTTTTTCACGGCAGGTTTATGGGATGCTGGTCCGCACGATGATCTCGTTGAGGTTCTGCATTTAGCGGTTATTTGTACTGTGGATTCTCTATCTACAAGGCCAACTATGAAGCAAGTTGTACGGCGGTTGAAGCAGCTTCAGCCTCCGTCGTGTTAGCTCTTCCCCCAGTAATTTGTATTTGATTATTTTTTAATTTGTACAGTTGTAAACATACTTGTGTAGTTAACATGTTGTGTAGTAGTTAGAAGAAGAGATGTAATATATTAAGAGAAAGGTATAGAAAGTTTAATCCCTCTCTCTTTGGTCTCTCTAAGTTGAAGTTGAAGCCATGAACTTGTGTTCTTTGATTAGGCTGCAGAGGCAGAAATCACGAGAGGCTATGTAGGGAGGATGAGGAGTTCATAGTAGCAAGAGTTGTTATATGTTCAATGCTTAATTTATAAATAATATACCTCTCATTTGTTGTCAATAGAAATTCCAGGTGATATGCTTGATGAACATTACGCTTCGTACACTTCTGACTGCACCAAAATAAAATAAAAATTGCTTCTTTAAATTTAATTGACAGAGAAACAATCAGCGAAGGAAAGAAGGTGAAAGAGAGTTTTAAGTTTAAACTTTTTATTTAATTTTACAATTGACCCTTTTGAAGAGATAGTGGGATATGTCTTCATATGGGCCAGTTCAGAAATTCAGAGCCCATTAAAACCAGCAACATTTGTTATTTTATTTTAACTTTCTCAAATATGTAAAACCATTATGCTTTGTTCAAGTAATTGAATTCATTTGCCTAAAATCTGGATGACATATAGTTGGGTGTTCCATTTTCTTTTAGATTGGGTAAGGGGGAGTTAAGAATTTTCATTGAGTCTAACTAAAACACAATCCACCGTGATTCGAATAATAATTAAATTATATTTTTAAATTCAGTATTAGTTAATGAATGATTTAAATCATTTTTTATGAAATATAGTATTATTCAACTTTAAATATTTCAAATTCTATATATTATAGACTGATTTAAACTTATTTACTGTGAAATCTTACGAATAAATGACTGAAATCAAAACGTAAAACATAATACAAAGGAAATGTTACTGATTTATGTAATTCAATTGATTTAAAAATCTATATAATATTAAAAATTTAAGTAAAGTAGACTTAATTTCAAAATCTAACATATGAAATTTAATTTGATACTTAAAAATCAAAAAACTATTCTTAAGATTTGAGTCTTTGTATTTTTAACAAATAAATCTATACAAATTGGTTGTGAAATCAAATATAATAGTAAATCAGTATGATTGAATAATATTTGATTTGAATTAAAAAAATTTAATCAGGAAACCAATAGTATGAATTTAAATCATAGAACTAATAACATTGATTTAGTTTGGATTTCCAAATCCATTAAACTACATCAACCAATAACTCTCACAAAATATTAGAATTTACCAATTTAAACTAATTTAAAATTATGATGGATAACAAAACATTGATAATTAATTTAAACTCATTGATCAAGTTACACCTCATAAATATAATGATTATACATTTTAGGATATGAATATTTATATATGATTATTATACATTCTTATAGTATTTTCTGATTTAAACATAAATTATCTACTGATGTTTTAAATTCCAATGATGTTAATAATTATTTAGTTGTAGAAATAAATAATTTATGCTAGTTGATACTATTGTATCCAATAAAAGATTTCGAGTTGTATAAGACCATCATAATATTGAATCAGAATTAGTGCACAATTACTGTATGGTATAATTTTGTTATGGTTGTATTTCAAATATTGTATACCAAATTATGATTAAAAGTCAAAACGAATGTCAAACTTAAAGATAATTAATGATATATATATATTCTCACATACGAGTATACCTTTGTTTGACCGCAAAGTAGAACGTAGTTCTAAAATAATTATTTTATGTGTATAAAGCCTAATTCCATGCTAATTAACGCATTTATTGATATTACACTCTACTCAAAAAAAAAAAATGTTCAGTTTATATCTACCATCCTTTAATTCACATTGATACAATTAATGTTAATGTAACTAGTCAAGCTAGATAAAAATATCAACACAAATGAATTAAAATGATGTCCTTTTATAGCATTAGGTAAACCTAATATTTTAACTTTTTATTTATTCTAAAATTTCAAACGATAGAAATATTATAAACACTAATGCAATGCAATTCAAACAAATATACTTCAATTTAAACAAAACAAAAATATGTACTATCACAATTACCATAGCTTATAATATTTAATCTCACTGTATTGTTTATTATGATTATCTTATATGTTTTGTGCTGATAAATTTGAGGTTTATCATTATAATCTTATAAATTAAATGATTTTAGATTAAAATAGTATTTGAGGTTTATCATTATATATCAAAATTTATTTAAGAACTGAATAATATTAGTAAAATATGGATAATAATATATATTAATTTGCTGAATATTTGTTTTAGAGGAGATGATAAGCTTCTATATTTAGGTAATCAATGAATTGTTCTTTTTAAACTAAGAGCCAATAACACACAAATTAATTTTGTCAAAATAAAATAACACAAATTAATACTGCAATTCCGAATAAAAAGAATTGCCTCCCATAAAATAGAAAGTCTATTGACCAGTTGAACAAGTGTTAATCGACCACGTGTCAAATCTCGCACGTGCCGGATCCGTTATAAAAATCACACGACGGTCTTCACCTTCGAGTTCATCTCAATTTCAAACCAAACACCCATCTCTCTCTCTGTCTCTCTGTCTCTCTTCTCAATCAAATCATGGTTGAACCGGCGAATACCGTTGGAATTCCGTTGAACCACACTGCCTTGCTGAAAGATGAGCTCGACATTGTGATCCCCACCATCCGTAACCTCGATTTCCTCGAGATGTGGAGACCTTTTCTCCAGCCTTACCATCTCATCATCGTCCAAGACGGAGATCCGTCAAAGACCATTGCTGTTCCTCAAGGTTTCGATTACGAGCTTTACAACAGGAACGACATTAACCGTATCCTCGGTCCCAAAGCTTCCTGCATTTCCTTCAAGGACTCTGCTTGTCGCTGCTTCGGTTACATGGTGTCTAAGAAGAAGTATATCTTCACTATTGACGATGATTGTTTCGTAAGTTTTTCTCAAAGTTTGCTCTTTTTTTTGGTCGTTCTGTTTTGTCTGAATCTATAGATCTCTGTTTTATGTTGTGTTTTAAGGATTGTTTTGTGTCTATGCGAGATCTGGTTACAATGTCGGTAGATTAGACAATGTCGGTAGATCTATGCATTCTTCTGCTTGGATGGTTCTTGCTCTGTTTTTTTTTTTTTCATAATTGCAATTGTATAGACAGTTTCGTTGATTACTGATTGTAATCGGTCATGATCTGTTATGTTTAGGTAATTTTAGTGATGCCAATTGTTGTTGGACCAATCTCTATCTATGTCATAGCAGTTTCAGATTCCTGCATGTCATTGTTGTTACAAAAGGCAAAAGAAAAGTCCAAACTTTTTAATTCCCCTGTTTATGGAATTGTGGTTTTTTCCAAGAACTTGAGTTTTCAGTTACGCCATTGATGTTGCTTTCTTAATGTGTTGGTTTAATCACGTGTAACGTCTTGTTTCACATTTTATTATTATTTCTGGCTTCAGATACATTTGAGTAATGCTTTGTTTATTTAAATATATTGTTTTTGTTTGTTGTCATGTGATATAGGTTGCTAAGGATCCATCTGGAAAAGCAGTGAACGCACTTGAGCAACACATCAAGAACCTTCTCTGCCCATCCTCTCCGTTTTTCTTCAACACCTTGTACGAACCATACCGTGAAGGTGCTGACTTCGTCCGTGGATACCCTTTCAGTCTCCGTGAGGGTGTTTCCACTGCTGTTTCCCACGGTCTCTGGCTTAACATCCCTGATTACGATGCTCCAACTCAACTCGTGAAGCCGAAGGAAAGGAACACAAGGTAAGTAGTACTTTAACACTCCCTTTCTCCATTTTTTTTTCTCAATTTTCATTAGCTAACAATGCTTACATGGTCATATCACTGTGAAGGTATGTGGATGCTGTCATGACCATCCCAAAGGGAACACTATTCCCAATGTGTGGTATGAACTTGGCCTTTGACCGTGATCTCATTGGCCCGGCTATGTACTTTGGTCTCATGGGTGATGGTCAGCCTATTGGTCGCTACGACGATATGTGGGCTGGATGGTGTGTCAAGGTACTTTACCTTCCCCTTCTCCTACATAGTTTTTGGACTGTATTTGAAAATACTTACTTGTCTCTTATGGGTCTGTTCTTTAGGTGATATGTGACCATTTGGGATTGGGAGTGAAGACGGGTCTTCCCTACATTTACCACAGCAAGGCAAGCAACCCATTTGTGAACCTGAAGAAGGAATACAAAGGAATTTTCTGGCAGGAGGACATCATTCCTTTCTTCCAGAGCGCAAAGCTCTCAAAAGAAGCTGTGACGGTTCAACAATGCTACATTGAGCTGTCCAAGATGGTGAAGGAGAAGCTTAGCGCCATTGATCCTTACTTTGACAAGCTTGCTGATGCTATGGTTACCTGGATTGAAGCTTGGGATGAGCTTAACCCTGCCACTAAAGCTTGAGCAGCAGAGAGGAAAAAAATACACCACCGCAGTTTTGGTTATTAGCCTAACCTATCTATCATTTATCTTCCTTCCTTCCCAGTTTTTGTTTGTTTTTTTTTTCTCATTTTCCGGCGACTATTCAGTTCGTTTCTAAGTCGCCGGAGTTTATTTAAATAGTGATGGTGTAATTCTATTTAAGAGCCAAGACAATATCATTTGAGCTTTTTGTTTCAATAATAAAATCATATATATTCCTTAAGTCTTTGGTGTTAATGTTATAGTGTTTTGCTATCTTTGCTTAGTTTGTTGACAAGTTCATTTGCTTTAATGTTAGTTCTTATGTTGTGACAATCTAATTTTGGAGTTCATACCATTCAAAATCTTACTCTGTTCAACTATACGGTGATTGCAAGAAATATGAAGTAGACCACATTTATTTTCAAATAATTATAATAATGTGTAACATAATTATACACTGCTTTGTTTATTTTTCAGCTACAAAACTGAAGTCCATGAATGAGGTGATGGTGCCAAATGACAAATCTGCAAACTTTACAATGAAAATTCAACCATTCTTCCTACAACATCCATGGAAGCTCTTCAGGTGTCTCTGTACACCAAAGAACCCTACATAACCTCTTTAAAAAAATCTTATCCTCAAGATTGATAACTTCATTATTCACCCATCCATGTCCTGCATCACCCATATCTAACAGAGATGAAAATGATCTGATCAAATGGTTTCATCTAATGAACTGCCATTATCATTCTCATGTAACAGCTGAAGACATTCATATGGATTCGCATAGAAGTAGTCTTCTTCTTTCGGTTTATTTGGAATCACAAGCCGCTTCTTGGGACCTCCCATTCTTGTAGCGTGAAAGGCCTTCACCCTAGTTGAAAACACTTCCCAACTCAACAGTCCTTCATAGTATTCATCTATTAGATTAACCAAGAACTTCTTGTTCAAATCAATCGTCTTCTTGAAACCCAAGAACCTGAGGATGAGGATTAAATGCATTAGCCACTGATGAAAGAAACATTATGTCTTCTTTAGATAGAACAATGATAATAATTCACCTGCGATGACCTTCCACAACTTTGGCCATGTTCCCATAATAAGTAGGAACGAATATATCACTTTCCAAAGAGATGAGGTAATCAAGAGCAGCCATTTGAGAAGAATGGTTCTTACAAAAACTCAAATCAGAGGAATCCAGCAGAGTTTCTTTCCTGACCTGTTTTTTTTTTTATGAAAGATTTATCAGTTACTGACACTAATAGTGTGACACTATGAGTGAATATTTCAGACAATAAGGTACTAACCACATTAGGAAAGACGTCTGTTAAAGCCTTTAAACGCCTTTTACCACCGTATATCTCTCCAGCAGCTATGTAAATCTGAACATTACGGTCAATGCCTAAGGCAGATAGTGTAAGAGCTGTTTCTTCTGGAGTCAAGGGGCAAAGACCTTCTTTCCTCTTCATCTCTGAGTTTATTACTTTCTCTTTCCACCACGGATAAGCATATCTAAGCAATGAATAACATCAATATCAAAAGGAGATAATAGAAGTGTGAACTTTTTCAACACAAGGAAGAAATGTTTTTGTTTTAACCTCATTCTTGTGAGTTCTTCTTCTTCATAGCGGTTGCAACCATGTGAGCAACCAGAAAATGCAAGCATATCCATTTCGTATCTGAGATGTAGAACAAGAAAGGGACCTTTCTCCCTCAGAATCTTGACTACTCTTCTACCTAATTCTTCAATCTTTGGAGTAAACCTAAGCCCGTTGAAATTTACTCTGCATCTCAGCTTCTGAACCTCAACAGGAAGTTCGTTATTCGCTAGACGAGTATCGGTCTTGTTCAGTTGTAAGACCTTGTGCTTCTTCACCAGGGGAAGAATCTGGTCTTGGTAGTAGGACATGTTGGACCAGCTAACAGGAGGCATGGTGTGGTACACACCGAGCTCAACCCTTCTCTTAAGCCTTGGAGGAAGCTCTTTGAGTATACGAACCTCATCCCTTAGAGAAGTTATGAAATGATCCACATCAAATATGTCTTTGAACTCACTGCCCACATGAGAATCCAATCAACATTTTTTAAGAGATGTTACAAATTAAGTAAATAAAAAAAAAAATCAGAAAGAAATGTTAATACCTTGGATCATTCCAAAAAGAGGTCTTGTCAAGCTCTGGTACAATTAGTGTGACATTCATGTATCTTGCAATGGTGACCATATCACATATCTGAAGAAAAAAAAACAGAGTTCATAAGTCCATAAGACATATTCCCAAAATGCAAAGACATTATGATCCTTACCGCTGCTCGCATTTGGTTGAGCCCTCCATTGCAAGAAACCATAAGATAGCCATTGTTCTGATATATCCCTGAGAGTCAAAACAAAGAGTATAAAAAAATCTAAAACATACCAATAGTGTTGCAGCAGTCAAAGCTACATAAACCAGAAAGAAAACAAGTTTTCTTACTTTTAGGAGGGAGGGCTATTTTGATGGGAAGAGAAGTCATTTCTGGTGCAGCCATTGGGAGATCATGGTGACTAATGAAACAAGAAGGCCATCCTTTCAACAATCTAGGTCCCCACATCCCTCCCACAGCCACCAAATGAACAAAACAACTCCATAGCAACAATATGGTGATAGCACGAATCATCCAAAGGCTCATACGAGACCTGGAAACCAAGGAGTTGTTGAACTTGTCAATCTTGCTGTCTCCTAGATACTTAACCTTCATCTCCCAAAGCTTCTTGTTGTATAGAAACTTCTCCGCTTTACACATTACTAAATGCATATGACTCCTCACAACAGGATTTCATCAACTTGAATCTTGCTCCGGAGAAATACAAATATAGAAATAGTCTACTCGGATAACAAGAAGAATCTCTCTTTCTCTCTCTGCAGCAATAATAATGAGCCCAGATCTCAAAATATGTAAATCAGAACGCAAAAACAGGGAAGAACATTTATTACTCTCCTCGAAAAAATCCAGAATCTCTCACTCTTAAGTCAACCACACATTTCGAAGGGATTAACACGACCTCTTTCTTATAACCTCTCTCTCAGTACTAATTAATTTAAACAAAAAAAAAAGATCGAAGACTGATTAGAGTATATGAACCGACAACTCTCACTCTCTAACACATTACAATCTCATCATCCATTTAAATCAAACAGATCTCAAGTTTCGAACTTTCGATGTACACTTGAAAGCTAACTCTTCAGATTACAAGGAAACTCTGCAATGTGGATCTTTGAGCTAAAAAAAAGTAAAGCCGCAATTAAAAAGGAGGAAACTTTTGAGTTGGGTGGATAGAGAGAATGTGACGACGAGATAGATTGTTTCTTTCTTGGAGCAGATCCGGTCGGTGATCACCAGAGAACATGAAACTGAATCGAAGCTGGTCAGAGAGATTGGGAAGAAAGAAGAAGACGAGGACAAGAATGTGGGAAAAAGAAAAGATACAACTTTCTTAATTACAAAAGATCAAAAAACAAAACAAGTGATCTGTCTTTTCTTTTGTCGGTTGCCTTTTTTTGTTTGAGACCGTTTTGTTAACCTTTTCTGTCTTTGACAGTTGGAGCCATTGTTGTATTGCTCTACTGCCATAAATAGATGCTGAAAATAAAAAGAAGTAATCTTCTAAATTATGCGGATTCAGTTAATTTGAGTATATTACATGTATCAAACGATTAAATACTACTTTTACTTGATGTTTTTCTTAGAATAAGTTCAGATTTTGTATGGACTAGAATATAAACATGTGTTCTTTTTTATTTTGTTTCCTTCTCACAAAGCTACACATGGTTGCAAAGAGTCAACCTTTGAAGTTTGTTTGACCATTAATCAATTATATTTTAATCACCAAATCCATCATTTGTATTTAAAAGTACAATTTATTTAGGAAGTCAAGTAACAAGTTTTCATAAACCAAGTCTTGTTCGATACCACAACTACTGGAGTAGTAGAAAAGTCGTCAAGATAAGAGATAAATGACAAAGGCCCGTGACCAAGAGAGTTGCTTCCTTTGTTTGTATTTTACTATTTTCACAAGTTACTAATTATAGTCACATGAGTGCATACACATATATACACATTAATTTCGTATATAATTTAACTATATGGCTATATATCTCAGATAAACTTAAAACTTGTGTTATTAGAAAATATACAACGCGAAAGAAATAACCCATAATTTAAATACTGTTCTAAATTTAATAGCAGAGTACTACTTAAGTTTAAAATTTATGGTGTCGACATGACAAGAATTTTCATCTTTCGTGAGTGACACCAAATCTATGATGGGTTAGTTTGTGGTTTGAGGCATAGAAGACTTTTAATACGAAAGACACTCGCCAGCGAGACTGATGTTTGAAGTCTCGCCAGCGAGACTGATATTGCGATACGTGACATTGCATTTTTAATAACTATCTCCGGTTCAAAATCGAATTCAACTATTCATATTTGTAACATGTGTAGTATACTATAACATAGTCTAATTTAAATAGATGGAGTATATTAAATACACTTCGTACGCATGGAAAATCGGTACGTGCATGTTAATAAATTTAGCAAACAAATAGTGGGTTTGCGTGTACGTACGTGAACGTGGTTGGTGCATTAGTATTTACTGACCTGGGGTTCGCTTTGGTCGTAACGCGATAGGCAATCGCTTTAGCGTAAATCACTCTTAAACTTTTTTTTTGTAACAGGTAAAATCACTCTTAAACTTACAGCATAATGATAGTAGAGGATTATTTAGAAAAATCAGTCTACCATTACGTGCGTAGACTGATTTTTCTAAATAATCCTCTACTATCAACTCGAAAATGTGTATGCAATGGTTTCTTTAGGAAAACAATCTCACAGTTGCACCAAAAACCGCCATAAAAGTCTGCAAACATTTTATTTGTAAATTGGTTAGAAGTTACTTGAATGCACTTAAGTGTTGATTCCCAAAACTGTGATCACCGCACCAAAAACTAAGAAAACTAAATAAATGCAAGCCGTAATCTTAGTGTTTGTTGTTAGGGATGTTAAACTATTAAAAAAAGGAAAAGCGAAATAATGTTAGTAGAAAAAGCCAAAAAGGTCATTAACGATTAATACTCCCACAAAAATAAAGAAATTTGTGTCGGTGCCTCAATGTTTCAAGCTTGACACGGCATTCTCGAGTTTAGGCAATTATTGCTGTCTATATATATACAGTAAGTGTAAAAGGATGTCAAAAAAAAATACACTGATTGTACAAGGAAAAAAACATTTTCTAATGTAATAATTATTAAAAATTAGTGTATTGTAACAAATTTTAAAGAACAGATGTACTCTTAATATTTTTGGGGGTTGACAAATTAGCCATTTTAAGCTCCACTCCCTAAACGCGCTTCTAGTGGGCGCTGAATTACCAAAGTTCATGGCTCAGGCATATGCAGTAGATTTTAAGTTTTAATAAAACTCCAATATTAACCCAATTGCTCCAAACTGGGCTTTGAAGTAGCTCACGAATTGATGAGATTGCTCCAATTGAACATCAAATTGGGCTTTAGCAAACTTAAGATTCTCTTCTTTTTTTCTTGTATAGATGATTTGTCTAAACTATTAACAGGAGCAGTTCAAGGTTTCAATAAGATTCTATTTTATTAAGCAAAGCTAATTACAATATGAATAGTTGTATTTCAGGGAGCAGTTACTTGATAAAGACTTTACTGATGGGGAAGAAGTATAATCAAAAACCTAAACCCCAAACTCTAGAGCAGTTTAGTTCTGTTTAAAAAATGCAGTAAACTACATTTTACTTTTCAGGACATTAGTACTTTATTTCCTGTCTCTGTAAGATTAAGATATTGTAATATCTGTTATGTACACTAGAATCGGAAATAAAAGCTAGATTTTGGTTGCATTGTGAAGTGTTTTTGAATCCAGTGTTGATTTGAGAGTTTTCGCAAGCTGTGTCTGCGATTGCTGTTAGCATAATCAGGATAAAGTAGCTAACCAGATGAGACATGGTCAATATAAACATTCCACACATTACAATCCGTTTATAAATACGCAAGGTTTCAAAAGGTACACACATCTGAAACAGAAGAGAGATGTTGAAGGCTATTACAGCTATAGCCACTTATGTCTAGAAATCAGAAGTCTTATTACATAAACACAAAAGCATACATATCCATAGAATCCAACTCATCCACATCATCAAGAACCAACCACTTGCATACTTAAAGATCCTTATTTGGGAGGGAAGAAGTATCACTCACAGCATCCAGCCAGGGATGTAGCCGTTTCCTGGTTGGGATGACTGACCTTGCGCCGTTACAGCCATTTGCTCTGAACACACTGGATGGTTGTATCTATTTTAATCACCACAACAACATAGTTTAACAATCTACATTAGAAATCCCTTCTGAAACTCAAGGGTTTGAATAAAAAAAAAAAGAGTTCCATATGTTTGATTTTCCCTCCTTTAAACATCAGAGTGCAACCAAATCTACAGTGTTGGGTTTTATTCAATAGTTAATGGTCTATCACCCAAGTTGATGTGTAAAAAATGCAAGAGAAGTTGTTTGGTTTTACCCCATTTGCAAAGTGGGATCACATTCAAGAGACTGGAATAGTCCCTGAGATTGAGCCTGATGATGTCCATAGGCAACATTATGCTGATCACCACCTTCCCATGCTCCTCCTATATGGTGACTTCTCACACCAATCATATCTTCCAGCTAAATAAAGCACAACATAGCGCAGATTCAAACTCATATATAAATGGGGTTTACATTTAAAAATTTAAGCTTCTATTGGAAACGAGAGAGAGAGAGAAGCTTTGTATATGTACCTTCATTGACAAAGCTCTATTGGCTTCAAGCAAGATATGCTCTTTGCCTTGGAGGTCAGTGAGCTGGTCAAGCATATACTGTGTCTATATACACGAAACAAGCATTTTCACGCATCTAAACCAGTTCTACCGTGTTCTGTAGATATACAATGGAAGGGTTAAGTCACCTTGATGCAGCGAACTTGCTTAAGAGAGCCGTCTAGTTGACGCTCAAGCTGCTCTAGCTCCTTTGAGTTGAGAGGTCCAAGGTCCTCTCCAAGTAGATTTCTGCAACAAACATACCCTTAACATCAATTGCAAAGCGTTTTATATGTTAGCATACAGATTAAAGTATTTGCATATATATACCTCTGCTGACGTTGCAGATTTTCATATCTACCTTTCAGCTTCAAATACTCTCTGTAGCTATTCTGTACAAAAATGCCAAGCAAAGAGATGTTTAACCAATGTTCTAAAAATCGCTAGGCGGAAACTAGGCGCTCTATAGAGAACTAGCGCCTAGGCGGATTATTCGGGGCTTAGGCGGGAATTAGGCGTTAACGAATTATTGATTTATTTTATATATATTTTACATTTATATAAGTGATTTAATTTTTTTGGTTTAATTATAATTTTATTTTAATAAATTATCAAAATCCGATATACAAAATAAAATAAATTGCACATATTTGTAATTATTTCCTAAATTATTACTTAATTTAACAAATTTATACTAATTTAAACTAATTATAAACGTTTTAGAACAATTTAAATCGATTTAAAACGGTTTAAACCGACTTGAATAGTATAAATCAGATTTTAAGAAAATCGTTTCGGTAAGAGGGGATTTGCCGTCTAGGCGGGCGCCTAGTCGGCGCCTAGACCGATTTTTAGAACATTGTGTTTAACTAATGTTGGACTCACTGACTGAATTTTATCACAATCCGTGAATCTTTAATTTTGAAGCTTTCGCTCTAGCATTAGTCTTAGTTATACTAAACAAAATGTGTTAACTAAAATATAGTAAGAGTGGTGGAGATTCAAACCTCGAGTTCTTTGGCAGGTTTGTTGTTGACTTCGACTGAACCATAGCTACACTTCTGGTACCTGTCAAGTGTCTTGAGCATGCTGAAAGATCAAAGCACAAAAAAAATCCGAATTATAAGAAGCTAACAAATATTAAAAATGTTTAAAATAAAATCTTGGTGGAAGCCATAACTTAAAAGAGATATAATTAAACTGCTTTGGTGCTTAAATGTCTGCATGAACTAGAGACTGGTTAATGCATGGATCCGCAAATTATTCTACGTTGGATCTTTATATTTTTATTGAAATCTGTGAATCTTTAAACTACTTTAAACATCTCTAATCAGACATATGTATCTGTGTAGAGAGACATTAATATTAGTATATCATTATGACGCTTCTGTAACCTATAGATTTCTAATAATCTACTCAAAAGAAGTTGACATGAGAAGAGATCAGATCTCGAAATTCAATATTTCAAAACCGAATCATCTATCTAAAATCAAAACCTTAGAGTTCATATTTAAATACTGAAAATCAAGAAAGCTAAACGTCACAAGATCTAAACATTTTTAAAGATTTATACACGGATCTACTAACTTTATCACATATCTTGAGAGAGTTAAGGATATATAAGTACTTGGAGGTGCTGCAGAACTCGTAGAGCTTGCCACGGTTGGAGAAGACGATGAGAGAAACTTCAGCATCGCAGAGAACTGAAAGCTCATAAGCTTTTTTGAGCAAACCATTTCTACGCTTAGCAAACGTCACTTGCCTATTAATCTTGTTCTCGATCCTTTTTAGCTCTACTCTTCCCCTTCCCATTTTTTTCCTTCTTTTATATGTAACCTTATTAAGTGATGTAAATGTTTATCTATATACAGACACACATAAACATGAGTTTGGTATTGCTTTTTCTGATGAAAGATCTTTCTTTTTGGACAACAAAATAAAAAAAAACCCTAAGTTTTTCAAGAACAAGAAGAGGAGAGAAGAGAATATATAAGAGGAAAGGTTTGCTTCTTGGTTTGGTTTTGATTTGATTGTAGTAGGGTTCTTGTTTTATTCTTTAGATCTATTGTTTGTTCTTTCTTTCTTTTTTTGAAGGGTTGTGTGTGTTTGATGAGATTGTGAATCTGAAGAAAGCTTTTGTCAAACTTTAAAAGCTATAAAGATAAGATACTTGTGAGGACGAGAGATTATTAGGGTTTGGTGATGTATCTGGTGTGTTTCAACACACACTCTCTCTCTACTTCTAAAATTCAAAACGTTCTCACACTCTCTTCTTATGCGCGTGTCACTGATACGCTATGTTGTTTGCAAAAAGAGTTGCTACTAATTAAGATAAATGAAGTTTATGTTATCTGATTATAGTTCATGCTTATATAGAGATAATTAAATACTGTGTTTCCACTCTTTAAGGTTTACACTCATTGCCTAACTTCATTGAATATTTTGAAACATTGATTTGGGTATGCACCTCCTCCTTCTTTAGCTACAATGTATGATTTTGTATTTTTATTTTTATTTTTCATCACATTATGCACTTACATGTGTTTGTGTAGTTATGTACTTTATGTATATTAATATGCCAACCAAAATGAAAGTGTTAAAATTGTCCAAGTGGTAAAGGCGAGTGAGAGTGGGAATCACATTGGCTTCTACAATAATACGAAAGCAGCTATCATCATTTTCTACTTCACAAGTTGCAGAAAAACCTCTCATACCTTAATATGGACATATATGTGTCGCATGTCTATTGGCTCCCATCTACTTGACATCATTCAAGTTTCAGACCAACTTTTGTTATATTTTCTCTTTCTTTTATGCATATATATTGTTTGAGAAATCCCTCTTAACCGATTTCTACATCGTTTCTTATGAGTCAAAAGTACTAATCTTAACAGGGACTAACTGTTTGAGCAAACTCGTATCATACAATACATATAAACGTACGTGTATGTTTTATATATTAATCAATATTTTGGTGATATCATATAGTTACTTTATTTGTTTTGTTTTAATTTTAAGTCGATATAGCTTTCTTAAAGTAATGCTATTGTCTAAATTGAAAACAACATGTGAGAAATATATTTATATCACATGCATACATATAAAATGTATAATTTATTGGGTTTGTTGATTAGTTCTTTATAAAAATTAAGAACCTTTTGAAAGTAGATTTAACGACGTTCTCCAATATATTTCTGATAACCCGTCTACTCTTTCAAGCATCACTATATCTGATTTGGAAAGAAAGAAACTCAAGAATCCACAATTCAATTTTCCGCCCTCCCGAAGCTCTGATCAAGGAAATTAAAGACACGATTAAGTTTCGTTTAGATCCTCTCTCCCGAAAGAAAGCACCTGCAACAAACCATTCCTCTACATCATGTTTAGGTACGTGGTTCTCTTTTTTTTAGCTTTTCATTTTAGGTTGACTTATGCTTAAAATGGGCTTGTTTGTTTAATGGCCCTGTTTTATTTTGTTAAGTTGGCCTGCGTTGCCACAAACTTTACCCATTCGTATGGGCCTTTTGATTATTAATGGAAGTTTCAGAAAAAAAAAAAAAAAAAAAAAAAAAAAAAAAAAAAAAAAAAAAAAAAAAAAAAAAAAAAACGACGTTCTCCAATCTTCTATATTTGGCCATTGCTTGCCAGAGTTTCGGGAGTTTAAGTCTTTTAGGTGAGTCCATGAAGGGTAAGATATATTTTTTGTTCATGTGTAATATCTGATTTAGAGATACAAAAAATATAATCAATTTATTATACTATTGTTGACTAAAAGAATTATTGTTTCAAATTTCGCTTTAACTACTCAACCAATTTTGTTGGTACAGTGAAAATTAAAGCATTTTCTTTACGACATACGTATGATCTCTAATTCTTTATTGTTACTTTCCACATAATTATCAATAATGCTTAACATTACCATATGTAGGTTGGCCTAATATAAGTATATAACTGAATTGCATTTTCTAATTGACGAAATATTATGTTGTTAAAAGAAACAAACGATTTATATTAGGGGCTTTATACTATGTACATATGTTTATACTTTATGCAGTTCTCATGTGCAAGGTTTCGGTTTTGACCACCAACTTTTTAGTACCACCATTGTATAAGAAAGCATTTACTTACTAAAACATGTGAAATGATTTTTGAAATCTATAACTTCCTTCGGACAATCTAAGAGCGAAGATCTTTTAGTCGTCTCAGGTGACGTAGGAAGTCCGTGCTTATATTTTACAGACAGCTAAAAGACGTCAGAAAGTAAAGAAAACAAAATCTAAACAGTGAGGTTTACGGACCAAGATGGGTGATGTGGTCTGAAGGACACGTGTCGATATGTAATTGATACGTAGGTAAGTTTTTTACTTTTGTGGGAGGCGTGCTGGCTGAGCCAGAGGAACCACACCTGTGTAGCAGTGTCTTGTCCCTAGACCTTAAATTACATTTTCATCCTTGGACATTTGCAGAATTTAATTTTCCTTAAATCCTTCTTTAATTTGCCCTAGCTAGTCTGATGGGCACGTATCAAGGTTGCTAGTATAGTAAACATCCTTCGATCAAAGGGCTCTTTAGCATAATGTGCACATGGTTTGGTACTTAAAAATCCCTTACCTAGCTAGAAGAAACATGTTTCCATGCATAAAGCCTATATATAACACATGTTTTGGTAAAATTTCAGCAACATTTTTCAACATGTATATATTTTTTGTTAGTTGAGAAACTCGTCCGTTCCATCAAACTAAGTATTCGTTGGCTCCTTTGCAGTTGATTGAGGGGGGGGGGGGGGGGGGGGGTCCATCTCATGTTCGTCTTTATTTTGACTTAGTGAAATTCGTCCTGGGCTCACGACAAAGCAAAGGCCCATTAGCTCAGTTGGTTAGAGCGTCGTGCTAATAACGCGAAGGTCGCAGGTTCGAAACCTGCATGGGCCAAATTCTTTTTGCTGTGATATTTTTTTTTTCTTTCTAGTTCCGTTCCTAACGTTTGATTTTCTTACATTCGTATCCCGTTATCTTTTATTCTGTTAATTTATGTCCAAATTCATTTTTTTTTATTACTACAAAATCAACTACTCTTGTAAGCAGAGTAGGGTTTTAAAGCTAACCTACTGCAAATTTCTCCCTAAAACAGCAGAGCATTCGCATTGATAACATAAGAGTCTCGTGTTGATAATAAGAGAGAGAGAGAGACTGAGATTAAGCAATGGAATCGGATCTGAATGAATACACTGTTATCAAGGAAGGAGAAGCTGAGATTCTCCTGCACAAGAAGAACCAAGTCTTCTTCAATAAAGCTCAGGTTTCTTCTTTTATTGTCTCTCTGTTCAAATTTTATTAGCTTAGTTGCTTTTGGTTTCAAAGTTCATGGCTTTGTTTAACATCAATTAGCTCCTTGTGGAGCAATACTTTGGTCTAGTCTAGGAATCTCCGAGAACTCTCTTTTCTTTAGTCTAAGATAATTGAGTCAATGAGAAACCAAAAGATTGCAATTTTTTATTGTTAGAGACAGTTTTCATAAGCTAAGCTTGTTAAAACTTTCCTATGTTAGGTCAACAACAGAGACATGTCTATAGCTGTCCTAAGAGAATTTATATCGAAACGCAAGCAAGAGCATGAAGCTAAGTCTTCTAAAAGAAACAGATCAGCTTCCAATAAAATCGACAAGGATTCTTCTGAAGCTTCCAAGGATGGAACACCTAGTGAGAACGGTGGACACCAAGTAGCATCTGAAGATGGACCAAGCTCTGCATCTAAAAAACCAGAAGGAGTTGCACTTAGAGAACTCCAGCCTCCAAAAGTGCTCGAGGTCATCCTCTATTCTTTATTATTCACTGTCTAGTTTCGTTGCTTGTTGTTATCTTGCACTTAAGATAACTTTGTTGCATCCCAGGCTCTGTCTGCTTCTGGGCTGCGAGCTTTAAGATATGCGCGTGAAATAGAAGGGATTGGTCAGGTTGTGGCGTTGGACAATGACCTTGGTAATCATGACTTTGATTCTTTACGAGTTAGATTGTTGGAGATTTGTGGAACTCTTATCAGTATCCTAACATTGTGTCCTTTTTCTTGTAAAAGCATCTGTGGAATCTTGCCAGAGAAACATAAAGTTCAATGGCTCGTTGGCTATTTCAAAGGTCGAGTCACATCATACCGATGCTCGTGTTCATATGCTTACCCACCCTAACGAATTTGATGTGGTAATGCATCCGTTTTATATATCCACATTTTGTTGTGTTCATTTTGCATATTGGTTGTTATAGTTAAAAACTAATTCCTGGTTCATAATGTTCTTAGGTTGATCTTGATCCATATGGGTCACCGTCTATTTTCCTTGACTCGGCGATTCAATCAGTCGCGGATGGTGGATTGCTGATGTGCACAGCAACTGATATGGCAGTGTTATGTGGCGGTAACGGTGAAGTTTGCTATTCCAAGTGAGTGTTTTATTCCTTTCACAACTCTCAACATGGACTAAGTATGCCATTTGGCTAAACCGATCTTTAATCTTATGTATCAGATATGGTTCTTACCCATTGAGAGGGAAGTATTGTCATGAGATGGCTTTGAGGATTCTCCTTGCCAGCATCGAGGTTTGTTTCTCTTAGCCATTTCCACTTTTACGTAATAATCATTTTTCTTATGTTCTTTTTACCGTTTGGTTATTATTATTTTTGAAAATGTAGAGCCATGCAAACCGCTACAAGCGGTATATTGTTCCGGTGCTATCTGTGCAAATGGATTTCTATGTTCGTGTCTTTGTACGCGTTTACACGTGAGCTTTTCCTCTTTTAATTATACACATTTTGTAAAATGTTCTGTTTTGTTTTTTTGATTCACTGAAACCTCAAATTATTCAAATTTTCACAGCTCGGCGAGTGCAATGAAGAACACTCCATTGAAGCTTTCTTACGTCTATCAATGCATTGGTTGTGATTCATTTCATCTTCAACCTGTTGGAAGGTCCCTTCCTAAGGTATATATATATGCACTTGTAGAATTTTTTCTAACATTCTCTACGCAATGCATCTCCTAAGAAGATAGAAACTTGGATTATAGTCAATGACTCTTGTTATACTCTTGGAATTATATGTGTGGTCACTTTAATTTATCTTGAACCTTTTCTTATAAATATTTATCATCAAAACTTTGTTTGGCAGAACAACAGTGTGAGGTATCTCCCAGCAATTGGTCCTGTTGTGACACAAGAATGCAACCACTGTGGGAAGAAATATAACATGGGCGGACCTATATGGTCTGCTCCAATCCATGATCAAGAATGGGTGACTTCTATTTTGAACAGTGTTAAATCCATGAAAGACAGATACCCTGCTTATGAACGGATCTACGCTGTACTTACCACAGTCTCTGAGGCAAGTTAATTTATTTTTTTGTGTTCTATTTTTCGTAATAAACTGTGAAACAAGAGAGAGTTGATTCTATTGTCTCTATTTTTTGGTTTTCAGGAACTGGTAGATGTTCCTCTGTTTTTGAGTCTGCATAATCTTTGTGCGACGCTTAAATGCATTTCACCATCAGCTGCTATGTTTCGGTCAGCTGTTATCAATGCTAATTACCGTATCTCGGGAACTCATGTGAATCCTCTCGGCATGAAAACTGATGCTCCTATGGAGGTTATCTGGGACATCATGCGTTGCTGGGTAAAAACTAACTAATGATTACATAATGCAATTAGTGTTTCATTTAACCAAATCTTGTTTTTGACTTGGTTGATGATGTTTTGCTGTAGGTTAAGAATCATCCTATAAAGGCGCAAGCCCCTGAACTCCCCGGAAGTGTGATCTTGTCCAAAGAACCATCACATCAGGTCTCTTTTACTTGTTTTCTCTGAATTTGTTAGTTATTGAATAGAATCCAGAGCTTGAATCTTTTGTTTTCTGTTACCCATCTTGTGTTTGGACAGGTTGATTTTTCGCGTCATGTTGGTTCGCTGAGCAAGGCGCAGGCAAAGAAAGTAGCTCGGTTTCTACCAAATCCAGAGAAGCATTGGGGTCCAAAGCTTAGGGCAGGTCGCCAAATCACGAGCAAACATGTCTCCCTTATTGGTCATGAAGCAGTCAATGGCCATCTTACTCAACACCATGAAGAACTAAAAGAGGAAAAAGAAGTAGCATTGCAAGAAGATAATAATATCCAAGAAGAGCTGGATGCGAAGCGCCTGAAAACAGCAGAGGATGTTGCCTCCACATCATAAGACCAATCACAAAATGTTAAGCACAATTGCTAAGACTTTTTTGTCTTCATGAAGATTTGCACTCTTCATGAACAACTCTGTTTTGTTGTTTTCTATTTATTCAGTTTTGATACTATGACCCATTTTTATTGATTTTCTCATGTATTGTTGTCCTTGTAGTGACATTTTTGGATGAGAAAACAGATAGAGCAAAGTACTTTATTGAAACTTGCTTAGTACTGTCAATAAATGTAGAAACATCAGTATTCATTCAGAACAAAAACCACAAACTATACATTCTATGCTAAAAAGGTTACACAAATGAATAATTAAATTGTTTATAGTAAACTTACTCTTACAAATGAACTACATTCAGAAACCACTAGTCGCTTCGGTCATAGTGAGCTCCACTCCCTACAACACATTTAGCAGTAATACCATTGGCCTCAGGCACCAAAGACGAATCATCAAACGATTTCATTTCACTGTAGATCAAACCAATCTCTTCGTAGATCTCTTCCCATCTAGGATGAGCCTTATCTGCAATGAAAAACACGTGAAGCTCATCTTTGAGCTCAACCCAACTACAACCAGGCTCCTTCTTAAGCTTAAATCTTCTCATACTTCTCCTCATGTCCGAAACCTTTTCCCACATTCCTGCATCTGCATATACATTCGATAAAAGAGTATAAGCTGAAGAGTCTTGTGGATCCAATCTCAACAGAGCAGCTGTTGCTTCTTCAGCAATCTCTACATTGTTTCTATGTATTGCGCAGACTCCTAATAACGTCCTCCATATAACATCGTCTCCTTCGAACGGCATCTCTCGAATAAGCTTCAATGCTTTCTCAACTTTCCCTGATTTTCCCAAGATATCCACCATGTTCGAGTAATGAGGTAGCTGAGGATCCAAGTCATATTCCGTCTTCATCATGTCGAAATACTCTAGTCCTTTCTCTACTAGACCCATGTGAGCACAAGCTCGGAGTATAGATATGAAAGTTATATGATTCGGTTTGATGTCTTCGAGTATCATTCTCTCAAACAGTTTTATAGCTTCCTCTCCTTTCCCGTGGTGTGCATACCCGCTGATCATGGCGTTCCACGTCACGAAATCTCTCTTCAGGGCCTTCTCAAACATTAACCTTGAATCATGGAGATCTCCACATTTCGAGTACATGTCAACGAGGGTGCTGCAGACATAGACATCAGACTGCAATTCTTTCTTGATGACCTGAGCATGAATCTGTTTGCCTAATCCAGCTGAAGCTAGGTTCGCGCAGGTATCAAGAACCGTTGCATAAGTGAACTTGTCAGGAGTTATGCCCATCTCCATCATCCGAGTAAAAAGCATCTGAGCATCTTCACTCTGTTCCTTCGTTACATATCCTGAAATGATTGAATTCCATGAAACACAGAGTTCTTGTAGTCTCTTGTTGTGCATCTTTTCAACCTCTTCAGGAACATTGCCTCGAAGAAACAACCGACTATGTATCTTCTCTGCCTCTTCTATCATTCCACACTTTGAATACATATCGATCAGAGAGCATCCAACGGAGGAATTTGAAGCCATTCCTAACTTAACAACGTTGGAATGAATCTCCATACCGTTGCCCAAAGAAACACCAGCGCAAGCTTTCAAAACGCTTCCAAAAGTAAACTCATCAGGTTCGATACTAGCGCGGAGCATTGAGACAAAAAGAGAAAGCGTTTCATATCCTTTCCCGTTCTGTTCATGTGCTGCTATAATCGCATTCCAAGAAACAGCATCTCTTCTTCTCATATCATCAAATACACGAAAGGCTTCACCCAGAGCTTGGCATTTCCCATACATGTCAATCGCAGCATTTGCAACGCAGACATCTACTGACAAGTTGCTTTTCACCGCTAAACCGTAAACCTGAAGACCTTCTGAAAGACCTTTCACCAAGGCACAAGCCCTGAACACTCCTGACAAACTTATTTCGTCGAACCCAAGACCTGATAACATGAGCCGGTGAAACACAAGTAGAGCCTTGAAACCATGCTCTTCCTGCGAATAACCAGTAATCATTGCGTTATAAGATTGCCTATTAAGATTTTCTGACTTGTCAAACAAAATCTGAGCATCTTGCATATTATCACACTTCGCATACATATCCAAAGTCGCCGTTCTCACTATCCCATCCGCTGCAAAATCAGATTTTAACGCATGAGCATGTAACTGACCACCTAACCTCAACTCAGACAACGCAGCGCATGACCTCAAGACGCTAGCGTAAATCGACTGGCTCACTCCACCACCCACCTTTTGCATCTCCTTGAAAAACATCAAAGCTAAAGACAACAAGTTATTCTGAACACAGCCCGCGATTACAGCACTCCAAGACACAGAGTTCTTCACCGGAATACCTTGAAACACTCTAACCGACTCGTCAAATCTCTTACACTTTGCATACATATCCAACAACGCACTTGCAGCAACCACATCAGTATCACAACCCACTCTAACAACAACCCCATGAATCTGCATTCCTAAACTATTATCCTCTAAACACGAACATGCTTTCAAGACCACAGCAAACGTTCTACAGTCAAACCCAACACCTGCTCTCCCCATCTCAACGAAAACCTCAACAGATTTAAAACTCTCACCGTTTTGCAAATACCCAGAAAGCATTGAGTTCCATGACACAACATCTCTCTCAGGCATCATATCAAAAAAAGAATTCGCTTTTACCATATCTTTACTCTTTGAATAACAAGTTATCATTGTGTTCCACGAAACAACATCTCTCAGAGGCATTCTATCGAACAACTTGGAAGCAGAGAGTAAGTCTTTAGAGTTAGTGTAGACTTGCAGCAGACAGTTCAGCACGAAAGTAGTGGGACGAAACCCAGATAGTATCATGTGAGCATGAGCTTGCTTGCCTACCTCTACTGCTCCTTGCTTCGCACATTCTTTGTAAACAAACGAAAAGTTCGTTGTGCTAACTGAGTTCACTTGTTTCACGAAATCAGTAAAGTAAGAAAAGACAGGAACTCTTCGGTATGAAATAATGTTCTTCGTTAGAGAACCATGGAGTGAAACAACTGCTCTGGTCATACGCAAGAATCTGAGATTCTCCGACATGACTCAAGAGTCATTACGAACTCGATCTCCGTGGTATATGTGAGGCGGGATTGTAACGATTACAACTAATTCGGTTCGGTTTACTCGGTTTATATTAGTTAAATTTATCATAACTACAGTTGACAAACGGAAATCAACAAGTCGTTGTAGTATAGTGGTAAGTATTCCCGCCTGTCACGCGGGTGACCCGGGTTCGATCCCCGGCAACGGCGCATTATTTTTACACGTCATTACTTTTTCAGTCACACGTCATCAGATCAGATCATACGATTTTCCCTCTGAAATATTCATTTTTCCATTTTCTTTTTTTTATTATGTTGCTCTGAAACTCAGCAATGGCGTCGACGAAGCCAGGTCCCGTAATCAACCTCGAAGAAGAGGCGGAAGACGGCGGCGCAGCCGCAGAAGGTTCGATTTTCACTACGAGCGTATTCGTCTGCGACTCTCCGCTCGACGAGAGAGACATCGATTGCGATCCTTATTTCCCTTTCGCAGGACACCCAATTTCAGATTCAGAGCCTGATCCTTACATCTGCCCCATCGATTTCTTCGATCGAGATACCTCCGAGGCTGAAGCTGGGGTGTACTTGGGATCTGAAGGAGTTACCGGCGATGATTTCAATGTTTGGGGCTTTTACGAACCTAAGGAAGAAGAGGAGGAGGAGATAGTCTTGGGGACTAGATGTGAGTCCGGATCCGGGTCGGATCAGCAAGGCCTTCGAGTGACCGGTCTCGATTCGGATTCGGATTATGAAGATGGCGTGTTCGATTTTACTTACGAGGAAAGTGGGAATTTGGAAAATGAATCGGGTCGGGTCGAGGTTGTTGGTGCGGGTCTTCCTCCTCTATGGGATTACGACTTGGGTGATGAAACTGAAGAATGGGAGGAGGTGCAGAACGCTATTAACTTGACGGTTAGAGCATTTAGTAGATCCGAAGAAGAAGAAGAAGAGTTGTCTTCGCAATCACGCGATGATCATGAAGAAGAAGAACATGAGCTTGACTGGCAGGTTTTGATAACTATCAACAACGTTGTTAATTACATCGAACAAGCTGAAGGTATCACGATCAGCCCTGGCGATATCGATCCGAGTTACTACATGTATCTAGCTAGTTTGGGTGATGGTGAGAATGATGATGATGCTGTTCTTGGGCACATATTTGATAACGAGGCTGGAATCAGGGGGAATCCTCCAGCTTCCAAAAGTGTTATTGAGGATCTTCCTGTTGTGGAAGTTGCATTGGAAGAAGGGGACATGGTTTGTGCGGTCTGTAAAGATGAAATGGTTCTAGAGGAGGAAGTGAAGAGGCTTCCTTGTAGGCATTTGTATCATGGAGAGTGTATTACTCCTTGGTTGGGGATAAGGAATACTTGTCCGGTTTGCAGGTTTGAGCTTCCTACTGATGATCTTGAGTATGAAAGGCATAGGAGATCACAAAGGAGTGACACCAGTCTTTTCCTTGCTGGGTAGATATAAGTTAATGGAATGTGAAGTATCTGTTCCCCATGTAAATAGCCACGGTGTAAGAGGCAAAGATCTTTACTTATCGTGAATGCCACAATGTTCAAGCTGTATATATTTCTTTTTTTTATGAAATAAATCATGTTAAAACTTTTAAGCCATATCTTGCAACTGTTTGTCAAGTTACATTGTCATCATAGTTGCTGTAGTATAGAAATGCAGTCATGGCGTGAAGATGAATCCTGGGGGGTAATATATAGCTGCTTGATTCTTTAGTATATGATAGTTAGCATGATCTGGATAGAGCAAACCTACAGGTTACCTTTTGTAATGGCTTTGGTGATCTGCGGGATTTGTTACTTATACTCTCTGGATCTCTTAGTAAAGCTTATGGTTGTATTGTTACAGGAGTTCATGGGTTTCTTACCGATTCTATCTTTGTGAAAGTAAAATTCTATCCACATCTTCTCTCACTAGTATGTTCCACTTCTTTGTGCAAGTAATTGTCAAGTTACATTGTCGTCATCCTAGTTGTTGTAAATATAGAATTGCAGTCATGGCATGAAGATGAATCATGGGTATAATTTTAGCTGCTTGAGTATGATAGTTTGTATGATCTGGATAGAGCAAACCTACAAGTTACCTTTTGTAATGGATTTGGTAATCTACAGGATGTTATTCTCTTTGATTCTCTAAGTGAAGCTTATGGTTGTATTGTTGCAGGACTCCACTAGTTTCTTATAGATTCAATGATGATTGTGAAAGTAAAATTCTCTACATCTTGTCTCTCTAGTATGCTCCACTTTTGTATATGCCTACATATGTAGGATCATGTTGTCTGCAAGAACAGGTCGACTGAAATCTGTCTGTTAAACGGTATTTGAAGCCTTTTGTGGGCTGTGCAGACAAAGAGTTGATCTCTCTTTTGTTCACAAGTCTCTGTAACTGGTGAGAGATTTATCCATTCTTGGGAAACAAAGATTTATCCATTCTTGGGAACAACGTGGTGTTTAATGTTCTTAATGGAAACTACATGTCGTCTAATTTTGAGATGGACTTATTCTTGCTTCGGGCCGCTATACTAAAAGCCCATGTTTTAAAATAGTTGGAGGATCTAAGAATAAATAAGCTTTAATAATAGGTGTGAATGTGTAATAAACAAAGTTTAGCTTTGTCAACGAATCGCACCACCGACGCGGAAATGTGTTTGGTCTTCCTTCACTTCACTCCTCACAAATCACAATCCCTTCCTTCCTCTGCATTACATTATCTTTATTTGTCTGTAAACATCCGCACTTAAATTAAATTAATGATTTGTTTAATACATTAACGTGTTTTCTTCACTAAATAAATGTTTTGAGATCTATCCGTCACTCTCCACAGATTAACTCACTCATCATCTCCCAAGAAGCTCACCGACGAACGATTCCAATCTAAAAAAAAATTCCCGATCTGGAAACTAACCGACTTCTATAGGTGAAAGTGTATCTGTAGCAATGGCGGTGGCCTTCCGTGGAGGCCGTGGCGGAGTCGGATCCGGTCTTCGCAGCTTCTTCTCGTACCGCACCTTCATCTCCGCCTTGTTCTCTTTCCTCTTCCTCGCCACTTTCTCCGTCTTCCTCAACTCCTCTCGCCACCAGCCTCCTCACGATCATGTACGTCTCTTATAACTCGATCAAAATTTAGAAATGAATCTGAGCTTCGATTTACTCTGATTTGCTCTTTTTTTTTTGTTATGTGGTTTTTTAGACATTGCCGAGCGTAGGAAACGCGTATATGCAGAGGACGTTTTTGGCTTTACAATCAGATCCATTGAAAACTAGGTTAGATCTGATCCACAAGCAAGCCACTGATCATCTCACACTTGTCAATGCCTACGCTGCTTACGCTAGGAAGCTCAAGCTCGACGCTTCTAAGCAGCTCAAGCTCTTTGAAGATCTGGCTATCAACTTCTCTGATCTGCAGTCCAAACCTGGTTTGAAACCTGGAGACGGCAATGCTCTTGAGGAAGACGCGTTTAGGGTGCTTGAGAAAGAAGTTAAAGATAAGGTGAAGACGGCGAGGATGATGATTGTTGAGTCTAAAGAGAGTTACGACACACAGCTCAAGATCCAGAAGCTGAAGGATACTATCTTTGCTGTTCAGGAGCAGTTGGCTAAGGCGAAGAAGAACGGAGCTGTTGCGAGCTTGATCTCAGCTAAGTCTGTTCCCAAGAGTCTTAATTGTTTGGCTATGAGGCTTGTGGGAGAGAGGATCTCTAATCCTGAGAAGTATAAGGATGCTCCGTTTGATTCAGCTGTGGAGGATCCGAGTCTTTATCACTATGCGATTTTCTCTGATAATGTGATTGCTGTGTCTGTTGTGGTGAGATCGGTTGTGATGAACGCTGAGGAGCCGTGGAAGCATGTGTTTCATGTGGTGACTGATCGGATGAATCTTGCAGCCATGAAGGTTTGGTTTAAGATGCGTCCTTTGGACCGTGGTGCTCATATTGAGATCAAATCCGTGGAGGAGTTCAAGTTTTTGAACTCTTCTTATGCGCCAGTCTTGAAGCAGCTTGAGTCTGCTAAGTTGCAGAAGTTTTACTTTGAGAACCAGGCGGAGAATGCGACTAAAGATGCTCATAACCTCAAGTTCAAGAACCCGAAATATCTCTCCATGTTGAACCATCTCAGGTTTTACTTGCCAGAGATGTATCCGAAGCTGAATAAGATCTTGTTCCTGGATGATGATGTTGTGGTGCAGAAAGACGTGACTGGTTTATGGAAGATCAACTTGGATGGAAAGGTGAATGGAGCTGTGGAGACATGCTTTGGCTCTTTTCATCGATATGGTCAGTACCTAAATTTCACTCATCCTCTGATCAAAGAGAACTTCAACCCCAATGCTTGTGCTTGGGCCTTTGGAATGAATATATTTGATCTCAATGCTTGGAGGCGCGAGAAATGCACCGATCAATACCATTACTGGCAGAACTTGGTAAGTCCATCATGACATAATGTGTGATTCTTTATTAGTAACTTATGCATATCAAAGCTCTTATCTTCTGTTGATTCTGTTATTTTCTTGAGCAGAATGAAGACAGAAGTCTCTGGAAATTGGGCACGCTGCCTCCGGGACTGATGACATTCTATTCAAAGACGAAATCACTGGACAAATCGTGGCATGTGCTTGGGTTAGGCTACAACCCGGGAGTGAGCATGGACGAGATCAAAAAGGCAGCAGTGATACATTACAATGGAAACATGAAACCATGGCTAGACATTGCTATGAACCAATACAAGTCTCTCTGGACTAAATACGTCGATAACGAAATGGAGTTTGTGCAGATGTGCAATTTTGGTCTCTAGAGAGACACAGAGATGGACAAAACAAACACGAAGAATGAAAAATATTGATAAGAGGTAACCTCGAGTCGATATGGGTTCAGTCTTTCAGGGCATTCTTTAACTGATACGTTTTATCTTTTACATATAGTGTTACGAAGTATTTTGCTTGTTCTTTCTGTTATAGTTCTGTTCTTATTTTGTTATTGTAACACTTCACAGCAAAAGCTTCTTTAAAACTACGATGTCTCTTTTTGTTGTCTTCCATACTTTGTCTGCCTAAGATTAAGAAACTCATGTCCTATAGTATTAAACCGCTTTCTCATAATGTGACGCGAAAAATCAACCTGTCGGTCAGAAAACAAAGATTCAAGCTCTGAACTCTATTCTCAGTTACTCACAACTCAGAGCAAAAGAGACCTGATGTGATGGTTCTTTGGACAAGATCACACTTCCCGGGAGTTCAGGGGCTTGCGCCTTTATAGGATGATTCTTAACCTAGAACAAAACAAGATCATCAACTTATTTGAGTGTATGAACTCAAACTTGAATATGAACTCAAACTTGAAGGTTGAGTAATTTCAAAGCAATTGTTTGGTGGTGAATGAAGAATTTATTTGAGTGACCATTCTTTTTGCAAGTGTTTCTTTTGTAATGGTAATGTAAAATGGCCAGAAATCTAATATGATTTTAAATGGAAATTAGGTGGTTGCTGCCAATTTACAGATATAATATTATATAAAATATATATTATGTATACAATATCATAAATTTTTGAATAAAAATTAGAAGTATTAAAAAAATATAGTTTTTAATTTCAAATAGTTTAACAACCAGTCGTAAAGTTTCTATAAATTTGATGTAAAAATAGTTGTGAATATTTAGTAATAAAATGTAATTATATATGTAATTATCACATTAACTTCTCCAACTCATATTATGTATCTTCTTCTACCTCTTTTCATTTTTTCGGTAGCATTCCGTTAGTTTTATTATATTTTGCTAATTTTTTCCTAATTTTTTATATATTTTTTACCAAATATTTATTTATTTATAAATAATAATACAAAACATATAATTAATCTATCTTAACTTTGTGCTCTACACACTACAAAAATAATTGCTAAAATCTTGTGTAGACGTCTAAAGCCTATCATGTGTGATATTATCTCACCAGCCCACTTTTGTGGCGGGGAAATCCGTTTCCGATAACGTCCTGATCACACATGAAATACTCCATTACTTACAGACTTCAACAGCAAAAAAAAGCATTGCTCAATGATTGGAATCCAGTGGCTTCTGTCACAAATTGTTGACTACATAGCCGAAGAACTTGTGGCACTGTCTGACTTTGCTGATATCTGGTCTACTGTTTGTGTATTGTGTTTATTGAGTACTATCAAAGCTGGATCGAAGGATGGATATACTCGGAGTTTCCGAGGGTCTTCTTGCCACACTCATGGCCTTCTTTGACATCCAACTAAGAGAACAAATGCGGTTCTGGAAGATTGTGAAAATCGTAATGTTTTGGTCGATCATTCAATACAGAGCTCACAGTGTGAGCCATCGAGAGTTACTTGCAGATGATCCTCTCATGGAGGCAGCCATTAAACTGATTCATACATTACATATTTAAGGCTTGGTTGATCGCTTATGAACACTAGCTTAAAATATACTCTCTCTGTTTTTAAATAAGTGTCATTTTGACTCTTTGCACATAAATTAAGAAAATTGTATAATAGACTAATATATCCCTATTTAATGTATGTTTAATTAAATGAAAATAATTTAAGTAAAATACTATTGGTTATTCAAAAGGGTAAAAAATAGATTTAATGTATAAAATTACATTGGGATTGTAGAATGACACTTTTTTTTTGAAACAAAATTAAAAGACTAAAATGACACTTATTTAGAAACAGAGGGAGTATATACTTGCATGTAATAACGGTAAGAAATATTATTCCCATATTGTGTGGTCTATGTTATCCATTTGACAAATGGTAAATAAAGGATTTTCTCTCTCTCTCAGTTTTGTATTCTCCCTTCAATAATATTTTCACACCTTGAGCAAAACATAGCTTGAATTCTCTGAATCTAATAATATTTTCTCTGAATCTAATTTTCACACCTTCAATAATATTTTCTCTGAACTCTTCACAGTTTGATATGTTGAGGCTGCATGATGTTAAGATCATATTTTGGTGGAAATTTGCAGTCTAAAAACTGTTCAAAAGAAGAAAAATAATAAGGTATGAAAAGAATATTTATCAATGGTTTTCTACAATATAATAAGAGAGAAGAGAAAAAAAAAAGACAGATGTTCACACTTGAGTGGCCAATTTTGACAAGAACTTTATTTCTATTTGGTTTGGTGCTAATCGGACCGTTCATTTCGATACCAAACAACAGCTCCAGTCTCTCTCAAAACTTACAGTGTTTCAGATCTTTTCAAAAAATCAATTTCCGGAGAAAAGCAGGTTTGGTTCTCCCGATCACACACTCCCTCTCTCTCTCTCTCTCTCTTTTCGAATCATTAAGTGATTAGCTTTTGTGTAATCGAAGGATCTCACTAGCTTTTTCTGTGTCATGAATCTCGCCGTGATCTTCTAAGCTTCTATTGAAAAATCTCACTAGTGATATTTGGTTTGATCTGTATGTGAGTGTTATATTAGATCGTGGTGTCTGCAGTGATCGTAATCTTATTCTAGATCTGTAATCTTCGTGTTGATTGAGCTCATAGTTCTCTAGTGTTGCATAACTTGCATGTATGTGTTAGAAACTTTGATCCCGCGTTGAGTTCTATGAGTTTATAGTCACTTGATTGACGCCAAGTTCGCCTTTTGATCTATCACCACGTAGCTAAAGGACACGTTTTGATGCGTTCTTCTTTGTTCTATCTTTCTTAGTTCTTATATTTCAATTGTGTTGTGTTTCTTTCTTTTGACAGCAGAGAGAAGAAGACAATGGCTGTTCAACCAACAAGAATAGGTTTAGCTGGACTAGCTGTGATGGGTCAGAACTTAGCTCTCAACATTGCTGAGAAAGGCTTCCCCATCTCTGTCTACAACAGAACCACTTCCAAAGTCGACGAGACCGTTGAACGAGCCAAGAAAGAAGGTAACCTCCCCGTCTATGGCTTCCATGACCCTGAGTCTTTCGTCAACTCCATTCAGAAGCCACGTGTTATAATCATGCTCGTCAAAGCTGGTGCCCCCGTCGACCAAACCATCAAGACCCTCTCTGCTTATCTAGAAAAAGGTGATTGCATTGTCGACGGTGGTAATGAATGGTATGAGAACACCGAGAGGAGAGAAAAAGCTGTGGCTGAGAATGGTTTCCTCTACCTAGGAATGGGAGTCTCTGGTGGTGAAGAAGGTGCTCGTAACGGTCCATCTTTGATGCCTGGAGGCTCCTTTGAAGCTTACAAGAATATTGAAGACATTCTTCTCAAGGTTGCAGCTCAGGTTAGGGATAGTGGTCCCTGCGTGACTTACATAGGGAAAGGTGGATCTGGAAACTTTGTCAAAATGGTTCACAATGGGATTGAGTATGGTGACATGCAGCTGATTGCTGAAGCTTATGATGTTTTAAAATCCGTTGGGAAATTGTCTAACGAGGAGCTTCACAGTGTATTCACTGAGTGGAACAAAGGTGAGCTTGAGAGTTTCTTGATAGAGATCACTGCGGATATCTTCGGAATCAAGGATGATAAGGGAGATGGCCATTTGGTTGACAAGGTTTTGGACAAAACGGGAATGAAAGGTACCGGAAAATGGACAGTGCAGCAAGCAGCTGAGCTATCTGTTCCTTCTCCCACCATTGAATCCTCTCTTGATGCGAGGTTCCTCAGCGGGTTAAAAGATGAACGTGTGCAGGCCTCTAAAGTCTTCAAGGAAGGTGGATTTGGTGACATCTTAACCGATCAAACCGTTGACAAGAAACAGCTGATTGATGATGTGAGGAAGGCTCTTTACGCGTCCAAAATCTGCAGCTACGCACAAGGGATGAACCTAATTCGTGCCAAGAGCGTGGAAAAAGGATGGGGGTTGAAGCTAGGTGAGCTGGCTAGGATCTGGAAAGGAGGGTGCATCATCAGAGCAATCTTCTTGGATAGGATCAAGCAAGCTTATGACAGGAACGCAGAGCTGGCTAACCTCTTGGTGGATCCTGAGTTTGCTAAAGAGATCATCGAGAGACAGTCAGCTTGGAGAAGAGTGGTCTGCTTGAGTATCAACTCGGGTATAAGCACTCCTGGTATGTCTGCGAGTCTGGCGTACTTTGATTCTTACAGGAGAGAGAGGTTGCCAGCGAACCTTGTCCAAGCTCAGAGAGATTACTTTGGTGCTCATACTTATGAAAGGACTGATGTGGAAGGCTCTTTCCACACCGAGTGGTTCAAGATTGCAAGACAATCCAAGATGTAATGATGTCATGATTCTCTCTCTCAGTTTCGTTTTCTCCCTTCAATAATATTTCCACACTTAGTGTTTGGTTACCTCAATGTGTGAAATACTGTGGCAGCCTATCTATGGGCTCCTGTGTTTACTTGTATTCTTCTTTATTTGTATTCGAATAGGGATCAACATCCTTTTGCTACTAATTGGTTGTCTTGTCCCTCTCTTCTTTTAAGTTTTCTTTATACAGCTCTCTACACATAGTGATGCATATCTTCTTTCTTGTGGTATCAATTCAATAACAGTGTTAGACACTGTTCCAGCAGATAATATTTCACTTATTCTCGTATTTGTAGAGAGAGAGAGTTGTGCTTAAACTACAGCAGGTATAGGAACATATCTGATTAACTCATAATAGTTATACAAAAGTAACAAAAACTAATGATACAGATGATACTAGGAGAGTTCAGAAGGAAGGAACAATTCCATATCTGGTATTGGACATTAGTGATGTTGTAAAGAGCTGTTCTGCATCAGCTTCCATATCTATCCTCTTTGCAAAGCGGCCTTTAATCCTTGGTCTTACCTCAGCATATGCTTTTCTTGAAGCATACCTTATTGTCTTCTCAAACTTCCTCCTCTTCTTCTTCTCTCTGTATCTCAAGACCCTAGCCTCCCTCTCAGCTGGAGTTAGCTGCTGCACCACCTGAGTAGGTGGAACAGATACTTGATCTATGGACTCTTTAGGGTGTTGAACTGTTGTGTCACTTGATGTTGACTCTGGCACAACACTTATGTAGTTGTAGTGAGGTTCTGTAGAGCAACCATAATTGACACCCAAATGAAAGTTGTGTTGGCTTTGTTGCATGTGACTTGTTGATTCTTCGACTTGAAGTGGCACAACTCCATCTTCTCCTCCACCAAAGCTCTTCTGGTATTGACTGTACTGATCTTCGAATTGGTTGTCTATGCCTGAGTTGTAGTCCACAAGATCAAGATACTCAACACCAAACAAGAACCCATTGTTATTGTTTTTCCCTGGGTTAAGCATTAACCACGAAGCCACCTCATCATCATCATCCTCTTTGTCTTCACCCACCATCATGACATCAGTGTTTGCAGATATTGGCACACGTTGATGACGTCTAGCTAATGGGTTTGCGGAGTGAATCTGTGCATCACAAGATGTGCAAAGAGACGCAGCGTCTGCTTTACAGAAAAACGCAGCCGGGGCAGACTCACATGAGTCGCAGATACGAACACGATTGGCTTCGTGAACTCGTGGCCACGTCCCACTCTCGTTGCTCTCTTCTTTCAACATAGTAAAAGACTTAAAGAATCTGTTTGTGTATTCACAAAGGAGGGAAGGCTAATGAGATTGTTATGTGAGATGGGTAAGTATATAGAATCTTAGAGGTGGCAACGTGGCGCAAAGTTAGTGGTTGTGAAAAGTGGTTGGATCAGCTTGTGGCTGGCTGAAGTTTGAAGAGAAGATATGTATTAATGATGAGAAAGTCTTGTCTTATATCATTGGCAAAAGGAGAACAAATCTACACCAAGTATATATCTTCTCTTCCTTTCTGTAGCTTTCTTCTACTTAGGACCACCCCCAAGAGTTGACGTGGGATGATCATCTTTTAAAGATTCTGAGAAAGCTCAAGTGTTATCTTAGTGTTATCAAATTGATCAAAGATTACACAAACTCTCAAAGACGGTAAAAAAGAAGTGAAAAACGTTTTAGAGGGTGCGGCTAACGTGGAGAGATATGAGAAGCTGACATGGCAATGGAATGGAGTATATGGTGGATCTGTAGTTTACCAATGGGAGTATGATAAGTTAGACTTTAGCGAAGCTACTAGGATGCTTATGAGCCACAAGTTCTTGACAGATTTATCATAGTGAAGCCTGTTATATATCTTATAATTCTATATCTATAACTATAGAGTATAGCCTTCTTATATTTCTAACATATATCAATAATAGGTTAATATCGAAATATTTATATCAACTATAGGCTATAGCTCACATCCTGTTTGAACTTTGAAGGCAATTCATGCATTTTTATGTAACATTTAGGCCTGTTCAATCTGGTGTTCGATCCGATTTCGGTTCGTTTTTTTTTCGGTTTTCGGTTATTCGGTTTATAAAAATTAACTACCATATTGGAACCATATTTAATTTGGTTTGGTTCGGTATTTCTACTATCGGTTTTCGGTTTATTCGGTTTTATACCAAATAACATTATTATTTGATTTAATTTCATATTATATGAATTTTTTAAAAAAATATATTGTCAAAACTATCATTTATTAAAATAATCCTAGGTGTTCATAAATATAAAAATGTGAAATTAACAACAAACAAAACGATCAACGATTCAGTTTTGTATAGTTTTTCTTATTTTCTCTTTGTTCTTCCAAATAAATTTCATGGTACAATATAATTTCACAATTTCTTACAACATGTAAAATCAAATAGAATTTACATAATAGTTAAAGAAAATAAAATAAAATTATTCAGATATATCTTCACAAGGTATAAAAAATAAAAAATAAAAAGACTATTCCAAGAAAATAAATGGTTATATAATGTATATATTTATATATTTTTTCTTTGATCGGTTTTGTTTGGTTTATTCTGTTATAAACCTAACCATATCCAAATCCTACGGTTTTTATAAAATCATATCCATTCGATTTATATGGTATATACCAAATCCAAACCATATTGTCTATTTCGGTTCGGTATCACCATATTGAACAGCCCTACTAACATTGCATAAACTATCATTTGACACACAAAAAAAAACATTACCAACTATATAAAAATTATAAATAAATAAAAGATTTAGATGGGCTTTTATGACAAGGCAAAGCCCATGGGCTTGAGATATTTACGTATTTCAGCATCATTTCGCTCGATTTATACAATCCGACAAATTTCAAATTCCATCTAAAACTTCTCAGAGACGCTTCTCACTCATGACTCCGCCATTGCTAAAACTCGCGTTCGTCCAGGGACCAAGAAACGGCGAAACTCTAGAGTACAAGCCCGGATCCACTATCCGTATCGGCCGAGTCGTTCGCGGCAACGAAATCGCCATTAAAGACGCCGGAATCTCAACCAAACACCTCCGAATCGTCTCCGACTCCGAGAACTGGATAATCCACGACCTTGGATCTTCCAACGGCACCGTATTGAACTCTAAAACTCTAGAAGAAGACACTCCCGTTAATCTCCGCCACGGAGACTTGATCAAGCTTGGTGAGTGTACTTCCATTGTAGTGAACTTTGAGACTGATGTTCAGGAGCATAAGCTTCCCCCGAGGCCGAGAAGGAACAACAAGCGCCTTCCTGTTTCGGGTCCGGATCCGGTAGAGTCGGTTCAGGAGAAACATGAACCTCCGAAGAGAACTAAGGTTGGTAGGCCCCGGAAGAACAAGAAGGAGGAAGAAGAAGCTGTTTCAGAAGAGAGAAGGAGAAGCTTTAGGGCTCAGGGGTGTAAGAGTTTGGGTTTGGATTCAAGAATCAAATTAGAAGTTGAGGAGACCCCAAAGGAAGTGAAAATATCAGCGATTAAAAGAGGGACAAGGAGCAGGCTGATCCAGAATGTTGAGAGTGAGGATAGTGCTTTAGAGGAGATGGGGATACCTTCAAGGGCTACAAGGAGCAGGAGGAAAGAGATTGGTGGAGATTCTTATCTGGAGTTGGATATGGTCCTGAGACAAGCCCGTGCAAATAAGAAGAAGAAAATGGAGCAGAAGAGCCTTGTTGAAGAGATTGAAGCTACAAATGAGGACGAGAAAGGTCGCAGTGAAACAAGTGATAAAGAAAATGAGAGGGTAGTAGAGCAGGTGGAGAGTGAGTCAAGGAATAGGGCAGTAGTAGGAGAAGAGGACCTGAACTGTAGTGTTAGAAAAGATGGAGAGACAGAGAATTTACAAGAGGAAAAAGACAGTAAGGGAGAGGAGGGTGGAGTTGAGACATCAGATGGTAGATGTGATAATGAAGAAAGGGCTGGGCAGGGATCCAGGAATGAAAAGAAGGATGTAGAGAAGGTAGATTTAGAGAAAATGACACTAGGAGATTGGTTTAAATACATGGAGGTGTACCTGCGGAAAAAGATAGTGGATGACACAGAGGAGAAGATAGAGGCCATGAGAGCCAAATCTCTGAGAGTTCACCAATATATCGCAGAGCAGAAGCAAGCAAAGGGAAATGGGGGTGCGAGTTAGTTTGACATGGTTGGATCATTTAGCTTTTGTGATAAGTGTAGTATTACTTCTCGACTATACATGAGAATACTATGCCTCGTTTAGTTAGGTTGCCAAGATCTATTTTAAGTTAGGTTGCCAAGATCTATTTTAAGTTAGGTTGCCAAGATCTATTTTAAGTTAGGTTGCCAAGATCTATTTTAAGTTAGGTTGCTAAGATCTATTCATCGTCTCTGTTTTTTATTCTGTGGATGAAATTGTTATAAGCACCTGTGTGTATCTATATAACTCAGTTGGAGCTAATCTTCAAGTTTCTCTTCATTGTTAATTTTATGCACCGCAAAAGGGAAAATGGTCACATTCTACTCGTGAATTAGTAACCAAAAGAAAGTCAAAATATCTAGTAGCAAAACAGTAATATTTCATAACCAATAAACGTACAAAGAGAAGAAAGAATCTACTTTACGCTGAAAGCTGAAACAGATAAGAGAACTGTTGAACTTGAGATCTAAAATCGTGTTTCTTGAAGGGTTTCAAAAGCCAACTCTGTAATTTGTTTTTCACCTGAACCACCATCTCTGAACAGCAGTCACCGGAGTATTCAAGAAGGGAGCGTAACGTTGGATCATAGGATTCACCGTCCTTCCGATTTTGCTCCAATTGCTCTGGTGGTATCCTGCTGTTACTGGTGCTTGATACATCAGCTTCAATAGCTGCCATTAAAGAAAACAAAAAACCTCAGGCTTTTACTTTATGCATGAAGACAACTCTCAACAATCCTGGAAACTACGTTTTTTTTTATCTTTGTTCATGGAGAGTTGTGAACAGGGTTTTAAACTTGACGGTTTCTTAGGCAAAACACACATGATTTTCAATACATAAGGTGTTTCATTAAACACGGTGGTTCCTCCTATAATCCTATGTTCAGAGTTCAGTTGATCAAGTTTCAACAAAGAAATCTACTTGGAGATGTTGAACCAATGGAGATGAGTGGAACCAAAATTAGAGCAAGAAAAAACATTTGCAAAGACGTACCTGCCAGTACATGAATGTCTGTATAAAGTTGCGTTGCCATCTGGAGTAAGTAAAACGAAAGTTTTGATCAGATAACTAAAACGTGTAAATGCACTCATAAGATTCAACTACGAACTTAATTCGTTTCGAAGGGTTCTAAGCAATTATTTTTTGCCAATAAATAATTATTGCTTCTAAAAAGAAAGGAGAGCGTACGAGAGCAGAGAAATAATCAGAAGGAAGCCAATGGCTATCTCAGCCTGCGATGAGAGGATGTTGAGGGTAGTTGTGTTTGACTCCACCCACACACAAGGGTCTTCCAAGTACTTCCTGATAACCATTACAAAACAGGACGCAGAGAAAGAGTTAAGCATCATTAAGAATCCAGCAAATGAACACGAGTTACAAAACAAACTTGCTGATCAGCTTGATGCAAATTACCTGTATATGGTGGAGCGAGTGAAGTTACGCCTCAAGAACTTGGCTACTTGTTCAAGTGATCGACACAAAATGGGAATCAAAGCAACTGCGACAAATCGATAAGGAGATTAATCATTAGAATGAAGAAATTTAAAGCAAAAGGAAAACAAAAACAGCTCTTACACTTGAGACAGAGATGTGAAGTGACAAATGTAAGGCAGTAGATGAAATAGATGAAATCCTTTGCTCCCACAATTGATTGGAAATAAACTTGCAGTCCTTGCATATTCCATGCCCTTGGTCTCTGCAGATAACAAAAAATCGTCTTACCAAAAATAAATTCTGACAATGTATGGTTCCTAGAGAATAGATCACATAGCTTACCCCGTAAAGAGAGTACAAGGAATATAGAGATGAGCACGCAGTTCCCATGAAAGATAGACGATAAGCCCTATTAGAGAGATTCGTTGGTACTAGAGGTAACACTGCCAGCACAGCTATAACGAAAACCTGCAAAAGGTGAAATAGATTAAGAGACTAGACGCGGGGAAAAAAAAAAGAAAGTTAGGGGAAGCATGCCAGAATAAACTATAACCTATAACAAGCACATCAAGAGAAGAGAACAAAAAGAAGACGACCTCAACATCTCATAAGTCAACAGGAGAAAGTAAGAGTAATCCCAACTCAGAGAGCCCCAAGAAGAAGCTAAATCTTTCTTCAAGTAAAAATCTAGACTTTGTGACTGTAAAGAGAAGAAGGTAGGAGCGACCAACAAATTAAGTCTACAGTTCATTGCCTAACGAATGATTCTGATCCAATTAAATATGAAGAGAAGCAACATTCAGGAATCAAAATAAAATATATTAATGTGCACCAAAAAACAAGAAAATGCAAATAGGAAAAACATAATAATAATACCCAAGCATTGACAGAAAACTGAATAGTCTGCTGGTCCCAACGCAGTGAACTTGAGTTTACACCTGTCGTAGCAGACGGCCCAGTGGTTCGAGGAACCGATCCTGATGCACAGAGAGTATTAGGTACTAAGAAGAAAGGTCATCATCTCATATAAGATAACTTAACTATATCAGAAACATGGGGAAAAAATAAAAAAAGTTCACCTGAGCTCCGTGAACGAGTTTGTTGCTCATTTGCATTAGTAGAAGATGCAGATGGTCTTGCAGATTGCGAAGAAGCTGAAGTCGAAGTCGACATAGGCTCCACAACAAGATCAGCATCCTACAAGAAAAGCAAAGAACTTCAAATCGTAAAATCTAAGACTTAAAACTTCACACAAAATAGCGCAAGCAAGCTCGAACTCAAGAGTATGAATGAATACTCGAAACTCAAATTCATTCAGAAGAGTGTTGTAAAAGAGGAAAGATAGTACGGACGATGTAACGTTGGTAGAATTTGCGCTTGTAATGCTCCACGACCTCTGGACGAGAAGCCATGTGTGGAGGGATCAGGATATTCGACCAGTAATCCGTCCATCTCGCGTCCTTCTCGTAGTCATAAGCAGCAGCCGCTATCTTCTTCAGTCGCTGCGGATCATCGCCGCCTTCCGCCATCGTTGCGATCGCTACAAACTTTCTATCTCCGCCGGATATAGATTCGACCTGTCTGGGTTTTATTTGGTCAAGTTCTCTTATTGTTCAAGGAATCTTCGTAAATACGACGACGTTTCATGGTAATATAATTTTAGGCTCTGAAACGACGGCGTTTTAGTATCGTTGTATCATATTGACTTAAAGAAATGAAATTTCATTTACGTGTGGTCTTTTTCAATTCATGCAGCTAATCCAAAGTTGTATATACATGCGTAAACTTAGTATAATTAGCTGTTTCTACGTATTATAACATCTATAAAACACATCATCATCATCATTACCATCATCCATACTCAATCCAACTAAACCCAAAACTAGAAAGAAATTAGTTTTTTTGTAAAAAATGTCTGCTCTTAAGCTAAGAAACGCCAACATTCCGGCGGCGCCGGAGCTCAACAACATTTCCGAGCAGCTTCCATCGGAAACACGACCCCTGGTGCTCAGGAGACAGATGTCAATCTCTCAACGAGCCATGTCAAACACGCTGATATCAGCAGCAAATCTCTCAAACCTCCTCCCAACCGGAACACTCCTCGCGTTTCAACTCCTAACGCCCGTTTTCACTTCAAACGGAGTTTGCGACCACGCAACGCGTTTGCTAACCGCTGCTCTCCTCTTCCTCTTAGCCGCGTCTTGCTTTGTTAGCTCCTTCACAGACAGCGTTAAAGCCGAAGACGGAACAGTTTACTATGGTTTTGTCACGTTCAAAGGTATGTGGGTCGTTGATTACCCTGACCCGTCTGGGTTGGGTTTACCCGATTTATCCAAATACCGGATGCGGTTCGTTGATTGGATCCATGCTACGTTGTCGGTTTTAGTGTTTGGAGCGGTTGCGTTGAGAGATAAGTATGTAACGGATTGCTTTTATCCCTCACCGGAGGAAGAGACCAAACATGTTTTGGACATTGTTCCCGTGGGGATTGGCTTCTTATGTAGCTTATTGTTTACGGTTTTTCCGACGAGACGTCACGGAATTGGATATCTTGTCACCGGAAATGTTGATCGCCGGTAAACATTGTAGCGTTTCATTTCGTTTTAAACACACAAGGAGAACGTATGGTAACGTTCTATTGGTGTGTTGACTTTCTTTTTTTTTCTTTGTTTGATTTGTTGATTGTTTGTATATTTGTATTCATACGTTATTCTTTGTTTGTTTTATCTAGATGTTGAACATTAATATAAGCAAGCAGGTTCATATGTGTTATAAATTCTAGAAGATATATATATTATAAGTATGTCAGCTACGTCTTTTAATCAAGTTTAATGTATTTTAATCACTATACTTATACATTACGGACCCGTTTGATCAGGAACACGTGAATGTAAGTTCGTTTTGCATGTTACTTGGGAAACGTTGACCTTACTCTTTTGAGCATATAAGATTATCAAAAGTTTGTAGTTAGATTGTTATCTATTATATCATGATCTTTTATTATTTTATGCACAACAAAATGATTAGGACTTTTACTCGTTAAGATCTGAATTTGTTGAAAGTTTGTTTCTCCTATACTCAAAATATATACCACATTGTAACAAGAAACAATACTATAAGTACATACATGAATAACTGTAGATTCTATTACCTTAACCATACTTTTGAATTGATCTAAAAATCTTACTAAATCTCTAGTTGCAACATCTCGAGTAAAATATCGTTCCATGAATCTATAGGACCTGGTAAACACCAATGTACACAATCATTGTATAATATAACTTTATCTTCCGGTTTATGTCCAAATCTGCTAGGATGTCCATCTGGTCTTAACAACATCATTTGTGTTACATCTAGTAATCTCAAATTTAATCCGTTACTTTTGTTTCTATCTCTTTTCGCAATGCGAAATTCATCAAGTTGAATGGTGTGTGTCTCTAGATCCATGCCTTCCAACTCTGTCTCATTGCTCCTAAGAAACCAAAATTGATGTTCATGTTAATTAGGAAGAGAACATTCGTATCAAACCAAAGGATGAAAGTAATTAGCGCGGGCGGTTAAACCATACCTAAAAGGTCGAGTTCTCAGGCAATTACCACCTTTATCCCATTCTCCTTGCTCAAAGTGTGAAGGTGCAAATGTCCTTAGAAACACCTCTCCTTTAAAATTCTCTAATCCTATGATTGTCTTAAACGTTGTTCTTAATGCTCTTCTATACGCAAAATGTGCCCCGACATTTCTGACCCCGGGAATGTAACAATACAGGCATCCTATCATTTTTTGTTTGTCATAAAGGAAGAGTGGTCGAAAAAACCATTGACCAGAGGAAATGATGATGTAATCGAACTCGGCGACTTGAGAAGCCCAAGAAGGGTCCGGTTCGTCGAGGTAGAGATTGTAGAACGAGTTAGGACCGGCTGGACCGTTTTCTTCGGACCGAACCAAATGAGTTGTCCAAAAGGTGGCAATTGTGAAGTTGTACGTTTTGTATTTCCATCTTTGGAAGTTAAAGTCGAAGTCTTGTTGTCGTGAATCATCCTCGGGATCTTCTACCTGAAATGAATGTCGATACCTGAAAGATTAAGCAATTTGTTTTATAACTTAATTGAATATAATAAGCATGAGCATGTGGGTACGTACCTGAGACAGTAGGCAGATCAAAGACTGTACGTGGTTTCTGTTAACGGAGTCACCAACAAACGCCATGTTTTTCCCTCTGACGATCTCAAGAAACTCGTAAGGATCAAACAAAGGGAGATCACACTGTTTCGGTTTCCATCTCCATTTCAAAAAACCTAAATCAGGTCTTCCATATTTCATGCAGTTTTGGTGTTCGTGTATCGCCCAGCATGTCGTGTTCGTGTAGTAAGGAGCTTCATGGTTTGGAACCCACTCACCGGTGAACAGATCGCATTTCTTGGCCTTCCTCTTTTTCCGTCGATGCTCCTTTTCTTGATGATCAACATTTGATGATGAGATGGAAATATTGTTATGCAAAGGTGATGGTGGCTTGAGACCATGATACGTGTCGTCATAATCGTTATCATCCAACGATGGTTCGGAAGATAATGTCTCATCATGATCCGATGATGATGCTAGTAGTGGTAATGAACGGTTAGAGGAAGGCAATGGCAAAGGTGTCTCCGATGATGAAGTTGTTAAACGTTTGTATATAGATGATGATGATGAATAATAGAGAGGATAACCAAAAAGAAGAAAGAGGATTGGAGCTATTGTAAGTAGGATAAGAGGGAAGATCACTAGTCCTATTCGTAGTTTTGTCACCGGAAGTTCCATCTCGTTATCATGAAAAAAGAGGATAATAAGAACGTATTAGGAATGAATATCTATTTTAGTTTCAGAGGATGAGAGAGATGCTAGGAAGACTCTGGATTAGCATGAAACAAGGTTAGCTAATAGGTCTTTCCTAAAATAAAACAACCATACTCAAGGTTTTACATTATATGTTTGGTGCATATTTAATGGCTATGTATAATGCATGTTTAATTGTTAATTAACAACTGTTTTGTCAAAAGCGATCGCAACTCACAAAAAGTTACATCTACCAAAAGTTTCAGATACAATAGAGACTTGGAATCAGTGGATTTGATCTATAGCCGGTTTGTCTTGGTTTGGTTAGCTGAGAGTTTGATAACCTATCGGCCTTTGTAAACCAAAGATGGCATTCATGGGAAGAGCTTACTATTTACTAACAGCACTCCCATCAGTGAACTTGGGAATGGGGTTCACAATTATTATTTTTTAATTTTTTTTAATTTTTTACGTTTGCATTAAAAAAAAAATAAACTAATCCCGAGCCGCCATATGTCGTGGGCCCACGAAACAGTGATAATACATGTTCATCACAGTGAACTACAACGATAGATGTTCATAAGTTTGACTTTATTATATTAGTTTTTTTTTTGGGAAGTGTGAGAGCACCCCTCGTGAACCTTCAATGGTGGTGCTCTAAGACACCATCATTACTGGTACATATCTTCTTATAGATATCTAACATATAAAATGATAATATTGTTCAGTTTTTATAATTAAAACTCAAAACAAAAGAGAAGTAAACTAATAAGAGAAAGACACTTAAAATTAACTTTCTCAACTGCCAGAGTTAATTTCTTTGCAGAGGTACGTACCTCATTAATTTTCACTTTATTTCTACTTTTTGCATTAGATTATATTATAAATAGAGTGAGAGATTAGGTTAAAAACTGCCGCCAAGACCATCATTATCGGTAGATCCTTAAGATTTTTTTTAAAAGTGATTAATTTAATTAAATAAAAAATAAGTAAAAGAAGAAGGGCCGATCCTTAGTTATGGATCTTTGAGATCGATCCTCAAGTGCTAGGTGTCACCTTAATGTTTTTTCCCATTTAATCTTTTTTTTTCTCTTTTGATCTTTTTTTTCTTCATTTTTTCTTTCTTTCATTTCCAATCTCTCTTCAATTTGATGTTTCAGAGTTCCAACAAGTAGAAGACAACATAAATTCACATGTAGACAAAAGCATCAATAACTCAAAGTTGATTTGGTTAAACATTTATGAAGTAAATTTGAAGTAAATTTGAACGTTATGAAGACAACAACTGAGTTCGGAATGTTTCTTTCAAATTATTCTTGTTTATTTTATTAATCCTTGTTTTTTTAACATCTATGATGTAAATGTTATATTTTAATATGTTTTATTTAATAAATAAATTTATATTTATTTTTTTTGTTTTTGTTTTTAAGAACCTTTAATTAAGAAACTTCCATTCAACCACTCAAAATAGAAGTTTTTTTAACTAGAGTTCTTAAGTCCACTAAAATACATTTTTTATATTAAATTATCATTAAGAACCCCAAGTGGGTTTTCAGGGGATAAGCAGAGCCGGACGTGCTATTACTGGGGTCCCATTCCATTTTCAAAATATTTTGCTTTTATTATAAAAATTTACATCTAAAAAACTATACAAAACAAAAGAATAACATATAACAAAATAAAGAGACCAAAAATATTTACCTTTAACTAGTATATATGTTTTTCAATATCTTATATATATTATATTGAAAATATCAGTTTTATAAATTAATATATATATAGAAAAATAGTTTTTTATTTATTTATTATCAGGGACCCTTGCATAAGAGGGACACCATTCAAATGTTTCATCTCAATAGGTTCAGGCCCGTCCTTGGCTATGTCAGTGCATGATACATCTATTCATTAAAACAAAATACCATATTTTATAATTTATCTTGAAATATGTAGGTTAACCCCAATAAAAAGATCAAAATTTATGATAAATGTTATATATACTAAAGTTTAGCCTCTTTAATTTTGTTTTAAAAATATCTAACCACATTCAAAATTTATATTAATGCACTAAACTTATATTCATGGTACATGGACGTCGATTCTAATTTTCAACGGAGAAATTTAATAAAACTCTATATACCACCAAAATCGATGAACTAAACCCAATGAAAACTCTATTGTCAGTGCATGATGCAGCTATGCATTAAAACAAAAATACCGTATTTTATAATTTATCTTGAAATATGTGGGTTAATCCCTACAAAAAGATTGAATTTTCTGACAAATACTATCTATATTATTCATCCTCTTTAGTTATATATATATAAAACTTATTTTCATGGTACATGGCCATCATTTCTAATTTTTTATTGAATAATTTATTCAAATTTCATATACCACCTAATAAGTGAACTAACCCTTATAAAAATTCTATTTTTTGGAGAAACAAAAACACCTAAGGTCTCACACTGTTTAATCTCCATACTATGTCAATGCATGATGGATCTATGCATTATAATAAAATATCATATTTTATAATTTGTCTTGTAATATGTAGACTAGTCCCTACAAAAAGATCAAGTTTTCCGTTAAATGTTATATATACTACAATTTAGCCTCTTTAATTTTGTTTAAAAAAACCCAGCCACTTAAAAAATTTATATTAATATACTAAACTTATGTTCATGATGAAATTATGCATGAAAACAAAATATCATATTTTTTAACTTATCTTGAAATATGTAGGTTAACCCCTACGAAAAGATTGAGTTTTCCAATAAATGCTATATATACTAAAGTTTAGTCTCGTTGTGCTATTTAAAAATACCTAACCACACTCAAAACTTATATTAATGTATGATAAGCTTATTTACCTAGTACATGAAAATCATATCTAATTTTCCAACATGTAATTTTTTTAAATTTCATATACCACTTAATCAGTGAACAATCCCCCTACAAAAACTCTATTTTATGGAGAAACATGAACACCTAACGTCTCAAACCTCTTTAACCTTCGTACTATGTCACTGCATGATGCAAATATGCATTAAAACAAAATTTTCATTTTTTCTAATTTTTCTCGAAATATGTGGGTTAACCCTTACAAAAATTGAGTTTTTCGATAAATTCTATTTTCTGGAGAAACATGAGAACCCCTAACGTCTCAAACATCTTTAGCCTTTATACTATGTCAATGAATGACGCAAATATGCATTAAAACAAATTTTCAATTTTTCTAATTTTTCTCAAAATATGTGGATTAACCCCTACGAAAAAGTCAAGTTTTATTGATCAATGCTAAATTCAGAAGTTTTGGCTCTTTACTGTTGATAAAAAATTACCTAATCAAATTTGAAATTTATATTAGTGTATGTTGAAATTATGTTCTTGGTACGTAGGCATCACTTCTAATTTTCCAACATGTAATTTATTTAAATTTCATATACCACTTAATTAGTGAACAGTCCCCAGATAAAAACTCTATTTTATGGAGAAACGTGAACACCTAACGTCTCAAACCTCTTTAACCTTCGTACTATGTCACTGCATGAAGCAAATATGCATTAAACAAAATTTGTATATTTTCTATTTTTTCTCGAAATATGTGGGTTAACCCCTACAAAAAATCGAGTTTTTCGATAATTGTTATATTCAGAAGTTTAGGCTCTTTATTGTTGATCAAAAATTACCTAATCAATTTCTAAGTCTATTTTAGTGTATGTTAAAATTATTTTCATGGTATATGGACATCATTTCAATTTTTCCAACAGGTAAATTATTTAAATTTTATATACCACTCAATCAGTACACAAACCCCTATAACAAAAATTCTATTTTCTGGAGAAACATGAACACCTAAGGTCTCAAGCATCTTTAACCTTCGTACTATGTCAGTGAATGACGCAAATATGCATCAAAACAAAATTTTCATATTTTCTAATTTTTTCTAGAAATATGTGGATTAACCCCTACGAAAAAATAAAGTTTTATGATAAATGCTAAATTGAGAAGTTTAGGCTCTTTATTGTTGCTAAAAAAATTACCTAATCAAATTCTAAATTTATATTAGTGTATGTTAAAATTTTTTTCATGGTACATGGGCATAACTTCTAGTATTTTAGTGAATAATTTAATAAAACTTTATATTTCACCTAATTCAGTGAACTAACCCTTTATAAATTTTTTATTTTCTGTAGAAACATGGACAACTAAGGTAAGAAACGTTTTTAATCTTCATCATATGTCAGTTCATGATGAGATTATGCATGAAAACAAAAAATCATATTTTTTAATTTATTTTGAAATATGTAGGTTAACCCCTACGAAAAGATTGAGTTTTCCAATAAATACTATATATACTAAAGTTTAGCATATTTTGTGCTATTTAAAAATACCAAACCACACTCAAAAATTATATTAATGTATGATAAGATTATTTACCTAGTACATGGACATCATTTCTAATTTTCCAACATGTAATTTTTTTAAATTTCATATACCACTTAATCAGTGAACAATCCCCCTACAAAAACTCTATTTTATGGAGAAACATGAACACCTAACGTCTCAAACCTCTTTAACCTTCGTACTATGTCAATGAATGACGCAAATATGCATTAAAACAAAATTTTTATTTTTCTATTTTTTCTCGAATTATGTGGGTTAACCCCTACAAAAAATTGAGTTTTTCGATAAATTCTATTTTATGGAGAAACATGAACACCTAACGTCTCAAACCTCTTTAACCTTCGTACTATGTCACTGCATGATGCAAATATGCATTCATACAAAATTTTTATTTTTTCTAATTTTTCTCGAAATATGTGGGTTAACCCCTACAAAAAATTGAGTTTTTCGATAAATTCTATTTTATGGAGTTACATGAACACCTAACGTCTCAAACCTCTTTAACCTTCGTACTATGTCACTGCATGATGCAAATATGCATTCATACAAAATTTTTATTTTTTCTAATTTTTCTCGAA